GATACTAAATCTCCTCTTGTTATTTTCCCATTTTTTTAGAATTTTTAAAAAAAAGCCTCATAAGGTTAAATATACATATATTGCATATTTATATATAATAAATATTATAATTAACATTAAAAATAACACTTTAAATTCATATTTTTAAAATATGTCATGTATTTCTTTTCCAATCTCTCATCTTAATATTTTTAATCTTAATCTTCAAATATTCATTCTTTTTTGTACACACATTTACAATTATTAATATATGCATATGAAATTATTATAGTAAATCTATAAAAATATAATTTTATTTCATTAGAGAGCAAATGATTTTTAACTTGAATCCCATGGTTATAATCTATCTGATGAATTTTATTAAAGATTCGGTTCTGTATAGATCTCTTACTTTGGTAATGAATGACGATATTTCAAATTCTAAGGTTTATTATGTAAACAATGAAGTTTAGGAAGAAAACAATCTTAAACAGTTTCAATTTATTTTCCCTTAATCTCATCAATTGTACTAGAGTATTTTTTACGACTTTCTGGTTTATCTTTTGTTTTTCTTTTTATTATATTTTCAATATATGATTGATAAACTGTATTTTTTTTCGGTATATTGGTAATTACAAAGGGTGAGGGATTGTTGTGTTAAAAATTAGATCTCTTTACTATTTTTTATGGAAATACGCGAAGTTCAATATGTTTTGAAGGAGAAGGTTAACTATTAATGCGATATGTAAATATTGGAAAAACCTATCCCTTATTATTTTGTTTAATTAAGCCTTTTTTGACAAAGAATTAAAAACTTGGTTCTTAATAACATGTAGATTTTTCTCTGTGGGCCATAATATTAAGAAAATGAAAATATTAATAAATTATGATTAAATTATTCTCAACAGCATTCAGACCTATTATAATATAATAGCGTTGCTTTTAAAGATAATATTTCTATAATTTTGCTAAGATTAGTAAGAAAGATTAAGAAAGAATGGATAAAAAGTAAGAGAAGTAAAATCTTGGACTTTCTAAAACAATTGATTTTACAGTATACCAAACAAAGTTTGATCAATATGCTTAGAAGTTTTAAGAATAACTAAAGAAGTTATAAGTAGGTAAATTAACACCTGAAATGCTGGATAGAGTTTCAATTTAAGCATATGGTGAAAAATTACCTTTATCTTCTTTGGCTTAAGCATCATAAAAATCATAAGGAGTATTGATTCTAAATGTGTTTGATGAATCAACAATTATGGATGTTATGAAAGTATGGATAATTTCATTCATAGGCTTTAGAAAATTCAGACCTTAATTTATAAGTTAAGAAATAAGACAAATAAATTGTCTGTTAACTAGCATAAGGCAATACTAAAGAGAGTAGAATGATTGCTGTTAATAATTTGAAGAAATTAATGGAAGATGCTAAACAAAATTTAAGATAAATCAGACATGAATGCATTGATGATGTAAACAAATATTTAACTTAAGTTAAAACCTTATAAAAAAGTATCATCTGAAGATACTATGAGATAAGTTGAAAAATAAATATAAGACTTATTTGAGAAGTAAACATAGTAATTAGATTCTTTATTTAAATCAAAAGAGAAAGAGTTATTGAATAATTGAATTATTGATTATTTTAACAAAATATAAAATTAATATATAATTCTCGAATTTACATACATTAATAGTACTATCAATATTATATTTGGTTACTCTTAACAACATCTAAATAATTCATATATATCAAAATAATCAATTAGAATAAATACTAATAAATAAATATTATGTATTCTAAATAAGCAACAATCTCAAAATCTTAGAACTTAAAATCCAAGCTTTAAATTAAGGACATTATGTCGAATTCTCACTAAATTTATAGTCAACCTTAATCTTCAAAGGTTTAAGACAATCATAAACAAAAAGTACATTTGTTTTAATTTAGAATAATTAAGATAGTGATTACATGAAGAAAAAACTCTTCAATATTTTGGGTAAGAATATTGAATCTCATCAATTTTTTAAAGTTTCACCTACTAATTCACATTAACAATAATATTTTGTATCTGCTTCTTTGTTACAAAAACCCAAGGGATCTATTATGTTAAAACAAAATCATACAACTGAAAATAATGATTCTCTCAAAACTCTCAAGTACAATGCCATGAAGTTACTTAAATCCACTAAACATAGGAATACCAATAAATATAATTAATTCATTTCAAATAATAATTTTGACATGCATAAACAATTTGGAAATTTTGTGAAATCTATTGATGAAATTTAATCTGATTAATTACAAATTTAAAATACTGAAAGAAGCACATTAATTGCACTTTTTGAAAAACTTAATGAAAAAGATTAAAAGTAACCTAAACCTAAAAGATAAACTATTTAGCATTCAGTATCTTATTCATAAAAACAATCAATAGAAGGTGAATTTTTAGATCCCAGTTTAAAGTAGAGAAACAAATGCAATTTTTCTAATAATTCATCAGGATAATTAGTCAATCCAAATTCAACAACAACTTAAATACATCAGAATCCTTTAATATTAATTGAATAGAAAATTAAAATAGAGGAAAATTTATAAACAATTGTAGATAAAACAAAATAAATTCTTTTAAAATATCAAGCAAAATAAATATAGAATGAATATGAAAAGGATGTATTAATTTAAGAAATTAAATATTGGAGAACTAAATACCTAAAATGTAAATAATTATAATTTTGATTTTTATTTATATAATATAATTTTATAATAAGAAGAATAATAAGATAAAAGCATAATTAATTGAATGAGTTAGAATAGAAAATGAAGAAAAGAATACTAATTTATAGGATGAACTTATGAAAGAAGAGAAAGAGAATTTGCAGAAGAGTTGGATTAAAAAATATAATATAGATTGAATAATAAAAATTAGATTAATTAGGATTAACATAAGATAGATTAAAATGATTTTAAGACAGCATAAAAAAGAGAATAAAGAAAGTCGATTGATAGAAGAAGAAAAAAAGGAGAAATTTTAATAATTAGCAGATAAAGCAATAGATATACCTAAATAGATAAGTAGGAAAGATATTTACATTAGAAGAGACTTTAAATAATTATAATAATATTATTATGTACTTGTAAAGTATAGAGAATTATTAATTTGTTGGAGTAATTTAAAGGATAAAATAATAATATTTACATTTCATATGACATATATGGGTGAATATATTTAGGAATGGAATTAAAAAAGATAAATTAAAATTTAAAGAGACGAAATTTAAATTATTGGGTAGAAGTTGGGATATATTTTAAATATTGGGAAGAACATTTATTATAACAGATTGTTTATATTTTGATGAATTTTGTAAATATAGAAGTGATAAATTATTAGTGATATAAAATCTTAGATCATGATTAGACTAATGATTGAAAGAATTGAGATCATAATTATTGAATAAAGCAAATAAAAAGAATGAAAAATGAGAGTTGTATATAATTTAATTGTGATGTTAAAATATATTTTAAAAAATTCAATTACTTGTCTACAGTTGTTATCTAAATATCAAATAAGCATAGAGAAGATTCGAAACTTTTGTATAATAGCTCATATTGATCATGGAAAATCAACATTAGCAGATAGATTTTTAGAGATTACAGGAACAATAACAAAAGGGAAACATGAGTAATATTTAGACAAATTGGAAGTAGAGAAAGAGAGAGGAATAACAGTAAAAGCATAATCAGCAGCAATGTATTATAAAGTAGATGGAATAGAGGTAAAGTATATAATAATAATATGAAATTAGTATTTATATAATTTAATTGATACACCAGGACATGTAGATTTTACATATGAAGTATCACGTTCAATGAGAGCATGTGAAGGTGCAATATTATTAATTGATGCAACATAAGGAATATAAGCTTAAACACTCTCTAATTATATTTTAGCAAAGAAGTAGAATTTAAAGATAATTCCAGTTATCAATAAAATAGATATGACATCTGCTAATACTGAAAGTGTTATATAATAATTAGTAGATAAATTTAATATGAATCCGAATGAAATATTTAAAGTGTCAGCTAAAAAAGGAACTGGAGTAGCAGAATTATTAAATAATATTGTTACTTTAATACCACCTCCTTAAGATCACAAAGAATTAAAATGTTTTTTAATTGATAGTTGGTATTTAAGAGATAAAGGAGTAGTATTATTAATATTAATGAAAGGAGGATATTTAAAAAAAGGAGATTAAATATTATCTTGTGCATTTAAAAAGAAATACGACGTTTTTGAAGTAATTAAATGGATATTAAATTAGGTAGGAATATAAAGTCCGGAAAATGTTCCTTAAGAAAGATTAGAACCTGGTTAAGTAGGTTATGTAATGACAAATATGAAAGCATCAAATGAAGCTAGAATTGGAGATACTTTTAGACATCCTCTTTCAAAGACTTTGCCTGAAACAGGTTTTGAGTAAGTAAAACCATTAGTTTATTGTGGTATATATCCAGAAGATCCTGATGATTATAATGAATTAAACAAATCTATATTCAAATTAGCATTAACTGATCCTGCTGTAATAATATAGAAGGAAAGTTCTGCTGCTTTAGGAAATGGATATAGATGTGGTTTTCTTGGAGTATTACATATGGATGTTTTCAGAGAAAGATTAGAAAATGAATATAATCTAAGTGTATTATTAACATCTCCTAGTGTCCCATATAAAGCTATTCTTAGAAATGGTAAAGATGTTATGGTAGAAAATGCAATCATGGCACCTGATGCAGCTGTTATTAAACATTATGAATAACCTATGGCTATTGCAACTATTATGTGTCCTGAAGAATATAGTCCATCTGTATTTTAATTATGTGATGCCAGAAATGGAAGACTTATTGATTCAGAAAAATATGATAAATAAGATAGATACACTTTTAAGTTTCCACTTAATGAAATTATTTAAGATCTATTTGATAAAATTAAAAGTGCTACCAAAGGATATGGATCCTTAGAATATGAATTTTGTGGATTCGAAAAAGCTAATATTGTTAAATTGGTTATACATTTAATGGATGATCCTGTTGATGCATTGTCATTTATGGTACCAGAAGAAAGAGCACATTAATTAGGAAAAAAAATATGTTAAAGATTAAAAGATAATATTCCTTAACATTTATTTGTTGTATCCATTTAGGCTAAAGTTGGTGGTAAAGTCATAGCAGCTGAAAAAATTGGAAGTACAGGAAAAAATGTAACTGCCAAATGTTATGGTGGAGATTACACAAGAAAGAAAAAGTTATTAGATCGATAAAAAGAAGGAAAGAAAAGAATGAGAGAAGTTGGGAGAGTAACTGTAAGGAAAGATACTTTTATTAGTGTTTTCAAAGATGATTGAAATATTAATACATCATATTATCATAACTTTGGTTTATTATTCGTAACCTATTTTATAAATGACTACAAAATATCTAATTTTGGCACTAAGAAGTTCTGGAACTTCTTTGATTAAATTAGTAGATTAAACATTAAATTCAGCGATTAAAATGTTTGTTTATGTTATAATAGATAGAATTATTTAGCTTAGTTCTGTTGCTGTTTAAGCTAAAGCAGATTTTATTTTTTGATCTATTTGAATATCTTTTATCATCATTAATTCAACATCTATACTCCAATCATCTATAAAATGTTAAATATAATCTTAAATTTCAGTTCTTTTTTTTAATAAGTCTTTAAAGGTATAATAAATAAGAATTTTAAAAAATAGATATTTGTTGATAAAATTATCATACAATTAGATAATATCAGTTGTACTTGTTTTTACATAATTTTCAAAATCTTAAGTAAGCACTTACAATTTTTTTGAATGGACATTCTATAAATGGATTGCAGGGACAAAAGGCAGAACAATTTGCATTAAATTCACCACAATTATAGATATAATTTTGATAAGCTCCTAATAAATTAAAATTCATTTCATTTTCTACTAAACTTTCTCTAAGATATCTATATTATTATTTGTTTCTATTTATTTAAAAATGGATTTTCTCATTTTCTAATTCTACTGAATAAACTTTAAAATATATTAATATTTTATTACTTTTATCATGTTGCCTATTATGTTGTAATCAAATAAATATTAAGAATAATTATTAAATTTATGAATTTTGAAGATTATTAATATNCTTAATGAAATTATTTAAGATCTATTTGATAAAATTAAAAGTGCTACCAAAGGATATGGATCCTTAGAATATGAATTTTGTGGATTCGAAAAAGCTAATATTGTTAAATTGGTTATACATTTAATGGATGATCCTGTTGATGCATTGTCATTTATGGTACCAGAAGAAAGAGCACATTAATTAGGAAAAAAAATATGTTAAAGATTAAAAGATAATATTCCTTAACATTTATTTGTTGTATCCATTTAGGCTAAAGTTGGTGGTAAAGTCATAGCAGCTGAAAAAATTGGAAGTACAGGAAAAAATGTAACTGCCAAATGTTATGGTGGAGATTACACAAGAAAGAAAAAGTTATTAGATCGATAAAAAGAAGGAAAGAAAAGAATGAGAGAAGTTGGGAGAGTAACTGTAAGGAAAGATACTTTTATTAGTGTTTTCAAAGATGATTGAAATATTAATACATCATATTATCATAACTTTGGTTTATTATTCGTAACCTATTTTATAAATGACTACAAAATATCTAATTTTGGCACTAAGAAGTTCTGGAACTTCTTTGATTAAATTAGTAGATTAAACATTAAATTCAGCGATTAAAATGTTTGTTTATGTTATAATAGATAGAATTATTTAGCTTAGTTCTGTTGCTGTTTAAGCTAAAGCAGATTTTATTTTTTGATCTATTTGAATATCTTTTATCATCATTAATTCAACATCTATACTCCAATCATCTATAAAATGTTAAATATAATCTTAAATTTCAGTTCTTTTTTTTAATAAGTCTTTAAAGGTATAATAAATAAGAATTTTAAAAAATAGATATTTGTTGATAAAATTATCATACAATTAGATAATATCAGTTGTACTTGTTTTTACATAATTTTCAAAATCTTAAGTAAGCACTTACAATTTTTTTGAATGGACATTCTATAAATGGATTGCAGGGACAAAAGGCAGAACAATTTGCATTAAATTCACCACAATTATAGATATAATTTTGATAAGCTCCTAATAAATTAAAATTCATTTCATTTTCTACTAAACTTTCTCTAAGATATCTATATTATTATTTGTTTCTATTTATTTAAAAATGGATTTTCTCATTTTCTAATTCTACTGAATAAACTTTAAAATATATTAATATTTTATTACTTTTATCATGTTGCCTATTATGTTGTAATCAAATAAATATTAAGAATAATTATTAAATTTATGAATTTTGAAGATTATTAATATCTCTTTAAATTTGTATTGATTGGAGACTAAGGTTAATTTATAGATTAATTTTAGGTGTTGGTAAATCCTGCTTTTTATCTTAATATGTTAAAGGCAAATTTATTTAGGAATATGATCCTACTATTGGACTTGAATTTGAAAGCAAATCTATAGAATTTAATGATGGAGTTGTAGTTCAAAATTAATTATGGGACACAGTAACAATTACTATTTTAATTAGTCTGGAAGCTCTTAATTTATGGCAATATAAAAAACCTTTTGTTAAAAGTAATTAATATTATTTATATAATATTGTAGTGCTGCTGGTGCCATCATTTTTTATAAGATTGATAACAAAGATTCATTTAAATCATTAGAAAATTGGATTAGTATTTTAAAATAAGTTTCATCTGATATGATTCAAATTGTTATTGTTGCTACCCATTAGGATTTAGAAAATTAAAGGTTATTTTAATTCTAGAATTTAGACAAGTTCAAACCTAACAAGGAAGAAACCTTGCTGATTCTTTAGATGCTAAGTTTTATGAAATTTCCAATCATGATAAAGATTAAATTGATGGAATTATAAATTCTCTATCTTATAATGTATTACGATTAGTCAATTCAAATAAAATCAATCCACTTAACACAGTATTCCTATTAATCATAATAGCAATATGGAATCAAAATGAGTAGACAATAAGAATAATAATATACATCTTAATAAGATAATACTGATGAAAATCTTATTTAATAATAATCTTCTCCAAAAAGGAGAGGCTCAGATATAAAAATTGAATAAAACTCATTTATCTCTTCAAATAAAGTAACAGCTTCTCCATAAAGATAATAATAATAAGATAAAGATTAAAATGAATAGAATTAATAATAAAATAAGTCATAATTCCAATTATTATTTATTCTGTTACCAATTTTAATTGCCTTTGGACTATATTAAATATTATTATGATAATTGTTTATTAAAAATGTATATCTAATAATAATATTTAAAATTAATTTTAGTTAAATTAAATTAAATGATAATATNAGATATCTATATTATTATTTGTTTCTATTTATTTAAAAATGGATTTTCTCATTTTCTAATTCTACTGAATAAACTTTAAAATATATTAATATTTTATTACTTTTATCATGTTGCCTATTATGTTGTAATCAAATAAATATTAAGAATAATTATTAAATTTATGAATTTTGAAGATTATTAATATCTCTTTAAATTTGTATTGATTGGAGACTAAGGTTAATTTATAGATTAATTTTAGGTGTTGGTAAATCCTGCTTTTTATCTTAATATGTTAAAGGCAAATTTATTTAGGAATATGATCCTACTATTGGACTTGAATTTGAAAGCAAATCTATAGAATTTAATGATGGAGTTGTAGTTCAAAATTAATTATGGGACACAGTAACAATTACTATTTTAATTAGTCTGGAAGCTCTTAATTTATGGCAATATAAAAAACCTTTTGTTAAAAGTAATTAATATTATTTATATAATATTGTAGTGCTGCTGGTGCCATCATTTTTTATAAGATTGATAACAAAGATTCATTTAAATCATTAGAAAATTGGATTAGTATTTTAAAATAAGTTTCATCTGATATGATTCAAATTGTTATTGTTGCTACCCATTAGGATTTAGAAAATTAAAGGTTATTTTAATTCTAGAATTTAGACAAGTTCAAACCTAACAAGGAAGAAACCTTGCTGATTCTTTAGATGCTAAGTTTTATGAAATTTCCAATCATGATAAAGATTAAATTGATGGAATTATAAATTCTCTATCTTATAATGTATTACGATTAGTCAATTCAAATAAAATCAATCCACTTAACACAGTATTCCTATTAATCATAATAGCAATATGGAATCAAAATGAGTAGACAATAAGAATAATAATATACATCTTAATAAGATAATACTGATGAAAATCTTATTTAATAATAATCTTCTCCAAAAAGGAGAGGCTCAGATATAAAAATTGAATAAAACTCATTTATCTCTTCAAATAAAGTAACAGCTTCTCCATAAAGATAATAATAATAAGATAAAGATTAAAATGAATAGAATTAATAATAAAATAAGTCATAATTCCAATTATTATTTATTCTGTTACCAATTTTAATTGCCTTTGGACTATATTAAATATTATTATGATAATTGTTTATTAAAAATGTATATCTAATAATAATATTTAAAATTAATTTTAGTTAAATTAAATTAAATGATAATATAGTAATTTAAGAATGAATTAATAATAATAATTGTCATTTGAATTCTAAAATATTACTATTAACATCTATATGCATATTTCTTTATTTGCAATTACCCTATTGATTTGGATATAAATATTACATATAGGTATTTATATAATTCAATTCTCATCCAACCAACAATGATTGAATGCATAATTGGATTGCTTCTTTGCATTTCTAGAGCATATTTTTAAACTTTATATAATGGAATAGGCTATAGATTGTAATTTGTACATCTTAGATTAGTTAATGAATGAATGCATCTAACATATAAGCCACGAACTTAATCATCATCAAAATTTAAGAATTGTGGTTTATTTTAGGATGAATATTCAGTAGGAAATTTAAGGATTAGTTAGATTCCAATAATTTCAGTCATTTGTTACAATTTATCAATTACATATTCTTATTTAAATACAGCACTTACATTAATATTGAATAATTTAGAGATCAAAAGAGTAGTAATTTAAATATACGCAACATGATCCATATTATTAGAATCAAATTTCATAGGTTAAGGTATTTTTTTATATCCAGTCCATACACATTCTAATGCATCTATTGGATATTATTTTAGTAACTAAGTAATTTTGAATTCAAAATGAAATTCATATAATTCTTTAGACAAACTAAGAATTTTATCTAATGTTAAATTAAATCCTGGTTTAGATATTCTATTGATAACATGAGCTTCTAATGTGATAGTTATCAACCCTAAAATTATTAATTACATCTGGTTCTTCAAAGTTTTATAGATATCCATTTCTATCATGTAAGAATTTTAAAAAATCAGTAACAAAACCAACAAAACTATTATCAAATACTTCTATAGCCCAGAGTACACAATGAATAGGAAGATAAGGAAATTTCTTATAAGTATCTTAATCAACATTATATACATTTTTTAAAGTTCTTAAATTTATAGTTGTTAATTTGGTTTTCCAAATTGAGTATAAGCTTTTAAACCATTAAGTATTTAATCAAATAATACTTTATTGTGTTTTTAAGCTTATTGTTAGATTAATATTCTTGATGTTTGATTATTAATGGCAGAAAATATGATTTCATGTTATTTGACAATAATTTCAGATTTTTCACTAAATTTATTTTTATCTACATCAATATTAATGGTGGAACTTAGTAATTGTGCTTATTATTAAGCTACATCAGCTTTTAGCATACCAAATGTTTATTAACTATAATTAGAGTATAATTTACTTAAACCAAATATGAGTTTCTAATGTATATTTAAGAACAATATCATCAGCTAAAATAGTAAGTTTAGAAATATGGCTGAGAACAACATTCCATTAATGAAAATAATCGAATAATCTCACATCCAGTTCCTCCACTTCCTATAACTAAAGCATTTTATGATTATAATTTAGTTTTAATCTAAAATTCATCTATACTATCAATATCACTAACAAATTGAATGAATGAACGCTATTACAGTGTTATAAACAACTTTATCTTCATTTGTTTTTTAAGTATTTTATAATTATAAATAGTTTCAGAAAGCTTTTAAAATTAGTACTTAAAAGGTACTTTAGTTAATTAAACTAATCCACCTGCTAAGTACTTTTCATAATGTTAAGTATGTCCAATAGAAAATTCAGTTTAAGATATTATCTTAATAGGACGTGCTTCTGGTCCATTTACTTATGTCATACATACCTTCAACATTACTAATTCTTACAAAATCACCAGTTTTATAATTATGAGGAATTGAATTATGATTTTATACAAAACCTGGATTAGAATTAGTAATATTCACTATATGGTAAGGAAATGGTTATACTCCATCTCTATCAAATACTTTGAATCCTTAACCAAAATCTGAAAATTTAAGACAAATGAATCCAAAAGTACATGTCCAAATCACTCCTTTATTATTCTTTTAATTTTAAGATGCATTTGATCTTAAATGTTCACTTACTCCTATTGCAAATTTTAAAGATTAAATATCACAAATTATTGTTAAATCATGCTTTTCTATTTTTTACAATATTTCATTCTCCTTATAATACATCTCCAATGTTTCTATTTATATAACATTATTTATTTTTAGAAGTTATTCACATTATTTCAATCTTTGTAATTATATATCACAAAGTTTTATCAATTCTGGTTGTTGTGTAGAAATATGTTTGGCAATCTCTAATCCAAGCTAGGATTGTAGTTATTAATTACACTTGACAGTCCTATAATGATTATCTTTAAACGTTAAAATTTCTATGATGTAGTCTTTCCAAACAATTTTATTTCCTTCTCTGTAGCTAATTCATCGAATGATTGAATTTACATATAAATTTTTTAATTAATTATATATGGATTAATTATTATATTAATATAATATTAAACTATTAATTATTATTTCTATTCTTCACTCATTATACGTAATATCAAAATTTTAATCACATATTATATATTATTTAATTATTATTAATATTTCATGTGCATTACTATTGCATGTGAGGCTTTCTGTTGTGCAGGAACATAAATCTGTAATTTAGCTTGTTGTTGTTGCAAGTACTTTGCTGAAACAACCCTGAAAGAGCAAATTAAATTAGCTTATATTCTCCTAAATTATTTAATAATGGCATTTACTGTTATTGCACTTTATTACATCCAAGATTTTTACATCAATTATCTATAATATTTTGGATGTCCAGAAAGAATTAATAGTTTATGTTTAGGAATTTCAGGAATCTATAGAATGAGTTTTGTTCTTACAATATTTTACATTACAATTCTAATATTTATGTTTTAGAAAGGGTGGTTGGCAAAAATGATAAATGATGGTTTGTGGTTGTTAAAATTCATGTAAAATAAATAAAATAAAATAGTTTTATTGCTGTATTTTTTTATGGAACACTCTATATGCCCAATAAATTCTTTGAAGTCTATGTTGATATAAGTATTGTAGCTTCTGGAATTTATTTGCTATTTTAAATAATTATTTACATAGATATATTTTATTTATGGGCTGAAAAATGGGCTAGAATGTATGATGATGGAGTAGAAGGAATGGGTTCAGCATTGGTAGCTGCAGCTTCATTAACATATACATTAGCTTTAATTCTAAATATTTATAACTTTATTTGGTTTGATCATAATTATTTCATCAATCTCATCAATATTACAATTATCGTAATACTAACAATAGTGTAATTATTTGGATTTAATCCTTCTGGATCTTTATTAGCAACTGGATGTATTTCTTGTTATATAACTTACTTTACTTTCAGTGCCCTATCAAGTTATCCAAGTGCAGATATCAATATATTTTATGATTCTGAAAAAAATATGAAGATATAAATGTATGTGAATGGAATATTAAATTTTATTTCATTATTATACATCATTTTTGCCACCTAAGAATCAAGCAAATAAGCATTAGTTATCTTAGATAAATCAAGTGAAAAGAAGAGATCAAATTTAAATTTAAATTAATAAGTTGAAATTGAAATGACATCTACTTAATAAATGAATGAAGCTAAAGCTTTAATCGAATAAATTGAACTACAACCTTATTCAACTAATCAATATATTGTATTTCATATTGTCATGGCATTTTGCTCTATGTATATGTCTATGATGATTACTAATTGGGGTAGTCCAAGTATTAGAATTGATACATTTGAAATTTTTATGCCAAGTTAATTAAGTTATAATGTCAAATTAGGTTCCAGTTGGATTTGTTCTGGCTTATATTTTTGGACTTTAATTGCTCCTAAAATTATGCCAAATAGATTTAATTGATTTATTATATCATCAAGTTTTATGAAGTACTAAATTAATTTATAAGAAAATATATATTAATATCAGACTTTCTTTATTTTCTTATTTTTTTTATTTGAATATATTAAAATAACTTTTATACACAAATAGACTCAAAAATTGTCCAGTTTTCTATCTTCATAACTCTTTAAATGATGTAAGTGAGTTTGATCTTTTACGAATACCTTCTTTTTCTTATTTTACTTTCTTGGATTATTTCAATTACTCTACAAATTAATTTGGAGTGCAACTTAATGTACTTTTTTAGCATTCAATATCAGATATAGAATAACATGAGTCATCATCATCTTCATTAAATTGTTCTTTATTTTTTGGATTTATATAATTTTCTAAAATGAATTCCTCCAATTCCCCTTTTTCATACGATTTAAATAATTGTCTTAAATCTTTCGTATCATTAGAAACAACAAAATTCTTCAACTCACTTCTTTCTTCAGCTGTAATCAATTTCTATTGAAACATACTTTATATTGTACGAAGCAAAGAAGAATAAAATGGAACTAGCTCTATATTTGAAGACATATTTAAACGAATTATATTAAAATATTGTTTTAGTTTTTTAACTAAAAATATCTAAACTAATTTTCCTAAGTATTCTTTGTTCACATTATTGGTAATTGATATTACATAAAACTATAAATTTTATCATCATTAACATTTCAAAATTAATGAGGTTCACCTTAAGTTGGCAATAAACCAAATCTCTTTTTTAATTCAACACGATATTTCTAGTTAACATCATCAGGACTAAATCTTGCTATTCAATTAATTTAAATTAATACCAGGATGAGCATTAAATGTATATGAACCATCATCAAGTGTATTTTTTAAAGTGTAAACTCTTTTTCCTTCCTCATTCAAATAATACCTCAAATGCATTTTTATTTTAATATTTAATTTATACTTATATATATATTAATATAGCTATATTTTAAAATTTTAGAAATAAAAATATTTTTCTTTTTAAGAATTCTTTTATTTTTTATCTTTTATCTTTTATCTTTTAGTATTTATTTATTAATCTCCCTTTTTCAACACTAATTTTAACTTTAATGATAATAATAAATTAAAAAAAAACATATTCAATTCTAAAATCTATTTCTTTCTTATCTATTATTTGTATTTTAGATTAAAAAAATAGATAATATTATTCAAAATCTATAATAAAACCTGCCTATTTTATATTTTCTTTAAAAATACAAATGTATAATTTGTTAAATAAAAAGTTATGAATGAATACTATTCAAACTTTTGATATTTTTAAACATTTTTAAACAAAAATTTAATTACAACACTTCTCAAAAAAGAGGAAACAAAATTTAAAATTTATGTATTTGATTTTAAATCAAAACATGCGTAGATATTTCATATAATATAATATGAATCATTATCCTTCAGGAGTTGTTTCTGCTCCTCCTGATCTGAGTTTACTGAAAATGTGTAAGAGCACAACGATTCCCAAATATACAAGACTAATTATAAGTACGGTGTTTGGTTGAACTTTAAGTGATGAGACATCTCCAGAATAGAAATTCAATCCTGATTGTCCCCCAGTTTCTGTTGATTTTGATGCTAATTCATGTTAACACAAATATCTTACGACTTTTGCCTCCTCCTTATCTTCTTTTAATAGCGTCTTTGGCGAGTTATGCTTTTTCAGACATTTATTTAATTAATTAAAATGAATAATGTGCACGTTGTTTAATTATTACTTATATTAAAATCATTAAATAAAAACTTATTTTCGATTCTAATACATATTTTTATTTATAAATCGATCTAATTCATATAAATATTCATACTAGATTAATTACAATCCCATTATATTATAAAACAGTATACAATAAGACAAACATCTAAATATTTACCTATTCTTCCATATAATTAAAGCTTTTTAAATTACAATAAATTCAAAAGTAATTCTCATTTGATAACATTTCCAATTAATTATTTAATAAAAAAACCAAATGAACATTCCAAAAGTAATTTAAAGAAATCATACATTTGAAAAAATCAATATATATATTTTGACTCAATTAAAAACTAGTAATCTAACAGCCAAGAAATTTTAACAAGTTATTGAATCATGGAATATTAACTCAATAAGCGGAATAAGAGAAAATGAAACTAAAAATATAATATTCTTCCAAATTATTTTATTTTTATACTTTTTAATCAATTTATTAAATATCAAGTTAAACTATTATATAATGTTTCCACTAATTATAATCATTTTTGTATGTATTTTCTTTGTATACCTTTATTTATAATTGAGGAGGAGGTTTTTTTATTATTTTTTTCTCCTTTATGGAATAAAGGATGGGTATTTACAAACTAAAAATTAAGTTAATGTTCCATTTTATCTACTTCAATAATTTTATATTCTTATTCATTCTCACAATTTTAAGAATTATCTTCATTTATTGAATCAGATAATTGTGGATCCTATTAAAATTAATTGATGGTAAAATTTAAATTTTCTTAGTTTGGCGCAGACATAATTAAGTAGTTATTAGGTTATAATTATTAAAAATTTGGTAAAGACATGTAAAATGGTGGTTGGATCTATTTTGATAAATATTCCTCTTCAATTGATTCTTATGGTCCTCTTTTGCAATTTGTTGATAAAATACTTTCATCTTGTTCTGATATAATAGTTTTATAGAAATCATCAAAATCTTTTGGCAAATTTTGTTTTTTCCTTTAAGTTGCTTTAATATATTTTTTTTCTCCTAATTCTATCATCTTTTTATTAAAAATAAAAACAATAATTAAATTTTAGCATTCTAATAAATTCTGTTTAAATTATCTTCAAATAGCTCTTCACTCGAAAGATTTAAAATAATTGATTTTAATTTTAATAGAATTTATTATTTATAAAATATAATGATTATATAATAGATTGATATACTTGAATAAAATAAATGATACCTATTAAATAAGTTAAATTTTATTGAAATGTTGTATGCAATTAAATATTATTATCATATTATATTTTGTCATTTTTATGTCAATCAAATTGATTTTGAGCCATCATAAAAATATTCACATCACTTTGGAATTGTTTTATTACAAATTTTAGTAATTTGTTTTAAGTACTTTGACTATAGATATATTTATTACCATTACTAATGAAACATCTAGAATTTTGAGATAAAAAAGTTTTAAATAATAAGTAATCATCATGATCATATTTTTAGTTTTATTATTGTATCCAAACAGTATATATAAACTATATGATTAATACTATTATTATAAATTGTGATTATTCAATTTTTAGTTTACTTATTATAAAACCTATTTATTCGTTTCTCAAAACCATAAATTTTCTATTTATAATCGAAATTCACTTTTTATGGAAACCTTTCTGTATTGATATTAAGTACAGCAAATTTCCAAACAATAAGTCCACGATGATTTAAAAATATACTTTCATATAATATTAATAGATAATCAACAAATTCAGTTTTGATTTTTAAGTAAAATATTCATATTATCTTTAGATGGGATAAATTATAAATTAATCATTAAATAAATTACGAAAAGACCTATGGTAATGAAATATATGGGTTCCTCTTAAACTGCCTTATTATCTTCCCATAGTTTTTATCCATCTAGGTCTTGAATAAATTATTACTCTTTTTGCAATATTGTTTCCATACTTATTCATAGAAATTTATATAAATTATTTTATTGAATATTGCATTCTTTTCTAACATTATTAACCTATCTCTAAGACTTATTTGATTATAAACATGTAAAATTTTTAATGATTTAATTATAATATTATTTGCAACTTATTTTCCTAATTAATAAATTTATTTTGTAATATAACAATTATTTTATAAAAAATAAGTCATCCCTATTAATCTGTTGAAAACTCATATTTAATATTTGATAAATTTAATTAAATAAATTACATATTTATCTAAATAAGCAAAAGTATTATAAAATATTGCTATAAAATACTCCCATAGTTTTTTTATAAACCTATCATCTCTTAATAAAAATTAGCATTTTTAAGTTATAAAGTCTCTTCTACATTACTTTACATGTATACAGATCTATAATCAATTTTTTTATTTTATTGAACATTTAATCCAAAATAAAATTTCTGTCTAAACTTAAGTTTAAAAGATTATTTTTAATGAATGTAAGAAATATATATTCTCTTTGTTTAATATTAATATTAGCATTATCATATTCTTATTGCATACGTCTAGAATTTTTAATTAATTTTAATTTTTAATAAAAGATGACCTTAAAAATCAAATTTTTAAATTTACATATCAGCTTAAAAAACTAAAATCAATGAGAATTTAAAATTATCAGTTAATAATAGATGTTCCATTTATTAATTAAGTTAATCTCATTCATAATCTTTATATTCTATATAAATATTACCTGCTAAATTCAATTAATCATCAATTTATTGAGAAGACAAGATTCAGGAAATATTTGAATTATTAAGAACTGTTTGAGTAGTAATTGTTCCACAATTAGATAGGAAATAATTAAAAAATTCATTAAAATCTAAATTTGTTTCAATAGGGATTAGATTTGACATAATTTTTGTTTTAATAAATTAAATAATAATGAAAAATAACATTATTTATATAAGAATTAATTGACATAGAAAAATTCTTAAGATTGATTTTGTAAAAAAAGAGATGATAATTCTTCATAATACGCATTATGGCAAAATTCACAATCCTGAGTCGAAGTTTAATTTTATAATTGATTAAATTAAAATAATGAATCTTGATCAATTTTAATCCACAGAAGAAGATTGGCCTTAATAATCTTGGAATGAGAATGAAGATCTTGATTTTTCATCACCTCCTATAATGTTTGGTCGTTAAAGCCATAAAATTAAAGATGATAATGACATTAACAATCAAGATTATTATATTTAGATATAATAGAGAGAAGAAGAACCCTCAGAAGATTAAGAATTGAATAAATTTTTAGAAAATTCTTCTATTCCATTAAGAAAAAAAAAGATTAGAAAAAGTAAAAAAATTAAGAGTACCACAATTAATAATTTGTATCAAGACTTTTTTTCAAGAATTATAGATAATACAGAATCATAATAAGAAATCTTATATAAATTATAATAATGCTAAAAAATGAAAGTCCTTATAGATGGATTAGAAAGAACTTTGATGAATGTTAAACAGTTGTTGCTTCTCAAAGTGAAAACTCATATTTATTGATTTGACTTTCCTTTATGCTTGTGTTTTTGATTCATAAAATAAAAATTCATATATAATTTCCAAAAATTGGTTTCTAATCTTAAATTAAATCTGGCAAACAAAAATCCAAGATTAAACTCTTATTTTTTAAGTCTAAAAGAAGAATATAGTATTAAAATATTTATAAGTATTAGGTACTAAAAAATAAGGAAGTAGAAAAAGTTAGTCGTTATTATAATAATTAAAAATTAAGAAAAGTATCTATATATTGAATTTAAAATATTTTTAGGAATGAGAATATTACGCAAAAAAAATCTATAAGACAAGAAAAAGTGCAAATTTATAATGATTTAAGTTTATGTGAGATTTAAGTGAATATTAAAAATGAGAATAAATTATAAAAAACAGATAAAACATACAAGTAAATAATTTAATCATTAATTAAAAGTGTTGAGATACCAACCATCTGGAATAAGTTATAAATTAGATTCATCAGAGCAACTAATTAATTTACCATTTTGCCATTCTCCAAATTTTTTTTTTCCTTCTTTGTTAATCATAAGTCCTTTGCCATGTTATTTTCCATCAAGCCAATATCCTTAATATTATTTTCCATCAGGCCAATTAAATATACCAAATCCAGACTTTTTATCATTTTCATATTCCCCATCATAATATTTTCCATCAATCCATTTATAGAATCCTCTACCATGCATTTAATTTCTAAGCCATTAACCATAATAAGACTATGTTCTAAATAATAAATAAATTACCCTACCATCTGGCCATTCATATTTTCCAACACCATTAATCATATTATCCATCCATTCTCCATTATAAGTACTCTATTAACTCCATTTATATAATCCTTTACCATTCTTTTTACCATTTCTAAAATCTCCTTCATAAACAGAACCATCTGGCCATACTTCTTTTCCTATTCCATTTGATTTACCTTATTTAAATTGTCCTGTGTATATTGGTCCCTTTGCATAAATACATTTTCCATCTCCTTCTAAATAATTATTTATAAAATTTCCTTCATATATATCACCATTTGGCATTTCTAATTTACCATAACCATTTGCCATATTATTTATTATTACTCCTGAATAAATTCCACCATCTTCAAATTTTATTTGATTCTAAAAACTTTAAATTTAATCTTGCTTTGATTCTGTAGAAATATATTACTCCTTTATAAATGTTGAAGAATTGGACTTACTATCCATTGAAGGTGGTTTTTCTTAAAATAATCTTTATAAGTACAGGGCTGTTTTTCATCTTATTCTTCTATTTCTGGATCAGAATCAGAATCAAAATCAGAACTAATTTCTTCCTTTTTATTTATTTCACTTTATTAAACTTCTTAGCTCATTTAGCATTTTTAGCATTCTTGTCCCATTGTGATTTATATAAAATATCACTTTATTTTTTTTTATATAAAAATAATAATTAAATATTAAATATAAGTTTCTTGTATGTTTGTAATTGTTTACTTAAACTAAATCAATTAATATATTATTAGAAAAAAAACAAATACAATAGATACATATCACATATAAAGTTAATTGAATGAATAATAAATCTCAAGACATTTGATAGCATTGTTAAATTTATGAAGGGGAATATTGTAATGGTATAAAATAAAGAAGAAGAATTTTTTAATAAATAATATTCATGCATTTTTGAATGGGCCTAATGATATATATTTAAGAATATAATGGAAATAAGATTAATAGTTTGTTAAAATATATAATGAAAATAGATTAATGTAAAGATGCTCAATTGATAAGAAATTATTAATATAAGACAAATCGATTCATAAGGAACAACCTTTTGAATTTCTTTTTTATTATTATTTTCCTTACGTATTTCAATTTCTTCACTTCTATAATTATATTAATTAACTGACATGAGTGAATCATAACTTATTGAAAAGCTTTAACAATATGGTAGTAAGAAAGGAAAGTATGAAAATGAACTATTAAATTCCTCTCAAGAATGTAGTTATAAAATTAGCACCAGTCCTAGATTTCATAAATTTCATCAATCTCCTGTTATTCATCAATCTCCTGCTAATGCTTCATCATCATTAGAACATTATCCATTTGATAAAGAAGATATTTAAATTAAAGATCCATAAGGTGAAATACGCTTCTTACTTAATATTATTGACTAATTGTAATATGATTTATAGATATAATACAATGATAGTGAAATTATTAAAAAGAAGTATCAAGAATTACAATATTAAGTTCAAAAAATGCAAAGCAATGTATTCAAAGAATAAGAATAATATGAAACTAAATAATACTGTGATCAACTTGAAAAATAAAACAAATTATTAAACAACGAAAATAATACTCTTAAAAAAAATTATTAAGAAGTCTAATAAAAATTTGTTGATTGCTAAAAAGATCTAGATAATCTCAAATTAAATGCATCAGAACTATTAATTTAAAATGAAGGATTGTATTCATTATTAAACTCTTTAAAAGAAAAACATCAATTTGATATTGATAGTTAAGCCAAACATTTAGAACTTATTAATTAAAAGAAAATTGACGATGAAATTAATCTTATTCAAAAACAATATAGAAGAGAAATAGAAACATAAAATTCAATTTCAGATTCATATAAAAAAAAAATAGAAGATTTAACCAATGAATGCGAAATTAAATCCAAGAAACTTAGTTAATAATAAGAAATCAATTTAAAATAAGAATTAGAAATTGAAATTTTAAATGGAAAATTAATAAGATATTAAAAATTAGAATAGGAATTAGTTGATATTGATACATTATATTAATAAAAAAATAGATTGTGTTAATAATTAGTTTAAGAAAACTCTAAATTAGGTGAAGAGTTGAAGAATTAAAAATAATAAATCTAATAATTGGATTCATCTTATAAATTATAATAAAATCTTTTAGAGAAAGAGAGGAGTGAATATATAGAGAGAATCTAATAATTATAAAAATAATTAGATGAATTATAAAATGTAAATAATGAATTCAAAAAGAAAGAGTTGGAATAATAAAGACTTTTAAATAAATTATCTGAGTATGGAGATGAGAATATGAGATTGTTGGAATAAAATACTTTTATTTTGGATAAGACTAATGATACTGAAACATTAAGAGTAAATTATAAGAACTTAGTTAAAAGATATTATTAATTAAAAAGCGAGAATGATGGTTTGGTATATTCAATAAACTAGCATATAACAAATAGTGCAATATTATAAAGATAGCTATAGAATGCAATAATAGAGAAAAATGAAGTAATAACGAATCTCCATTATACATAATAGTAGTTATTAAATTTATAATATTCATTAAGTCATTGAAATTTATAAAATAATAAACTAAAAATAAAAGTTAATAAAATATAATATATAAGTCTTATAAATAAATAGAAATCAATCTACTCTTGATGGTGGTTCTTTAAATTCATCTTTGATATTCATAGTTTTATCTATTCCTTAATCACACATCATTTAACAAAATTCATCAAATGAAATTTAATTATTATTATTAGGATTGATTTCATTAATCATTTCGTTTAGATTACTTTCCGAGATTTATCTGCCATGTCTAGCTAATGCTTCTCTGATATCATCTTTTTGAATATGGCCAACATTTAAAGTGTCGAAATATTTAAACAAAGACCATAACTAATATAAATATATTGAACAATACTCTCTCTCTAGTGAATAATTTTCTTTAATCAATACAAGCAGCTAAGAAATCAGTATATTTAATCATCAATGGTTTAGGAGATTTAATTTCCAAAAATTAATTACCTTCTTATTCTCCTGTAAATTAAATGCCCTCATCTTCTTCTAAAATAATTGTTTATATTAATTGTTCAATTTCCCAATGAGTAACAATTGAACCTTCTTTTATTAATGCTGCTTTAAGTTCTTCAACAGTGATAGTTCCTGAATTATCAACATCAATTTTAGAAAAAATCTGTTTTAAATGTTATAATTCAGATTCATTCATTTAATTAATTAGCACTTTAGTAACTTCTTTTTTAAATTTAGCTCCCCCTCTATAAGTTTTTAACATTTAATAAATAGTACGATCTTATTATATTTATGTATTTTTCATTTTATCAATAAGTAATAAAGAAGGATTGTATTTTGTTTAAAACCAAGGATGGTCTAAACATTATTTTGCAGAAAGTCTTTATTAAGGATCTTTAGAAAGCATTTAACTAAGTAAATCCTTAGCTTCTTATGAAATAGTATTCCAAACTTTAGATTCAAATTTAATATCTTTAACTCTAATATTTTGAAATAATTTCTCTTTTGATTATCCAACAAATGGAGGAAATCCACATAAAAGACTATAAAGAAGAACCCCTAAACTCCAAACATCACATTTTTCATCATAATCTCCTTCTATCACTTCTGGTGGCATATATAAAGGTGTTCCTATAAAAGTTTTCAATTTCCTTCTTCTATGCACAATATCAAATTTATTTGCAAATCCAAAATCAATTAATTTAGGCTCTGAATATAAACTTTATTCAGTAAATAAAATATTCTCTGCTTTTATATCTCTATGTACTATTCCTTTTTCATGAATATAAACAATAGCTGAACATATCTAAATAAAGAATATTGAATACTTTTGATATTATTCTTTATACTTAGTGTTCGGTTAAATTTATTTGTTGTTTTGCTATCCTTTCTACTAACTCACCTCCTTCACAATATTCCATACATATATAAATATATATCTCACTTTAATAGACTTCATAAAACTTAATTATGTTTGGATGATCTAATTTTTTTAATGTATATATTTCATTAGCCAATTAAGTTTCTTTTCCATGAAGATTGTTTTTGTCTATAATCTTAATGGCATATTGTTTCATTGAATTATTTTTCATTGTTGCTTAAACAACCTTACCAAAAGAACCTATTCCAAGTACTTTACCAAAATTGTAAAGAGAATGAATGTCTGTTGTTGAAGTAAATACTGAATCATTATGACTAGTTTACATTGGTACTATTCTTGTATGCTATTTTGGTTGTAAACAACCCATTTCTTTTAACTATCGCTATATAATATTAGAAAAATTAATATTTATCAATTTAATTCCACTTCCCAAAAAAATGGCCAATTCTTTCCACTTATCCAAAATCTATATGTATTTTTTTAATTATTTACAGATCGTCTTCTTATTTGTATGCTATTCCACATACAAAACTACTTATAACTTTATCTAATGAAAAATCTATTAGTTAAGAAAAATCATAATAATTTTTCCTAAAAAACATTACTGATAAAATATATACACATAACCATCTGTTAGATTAATTGCTAAAATGATAGGATATAAATCAGTGCTTGCATATAAAACTTCATTAGCAAATTCGATTTCACTCAAGCTTTACACTGAAGAACCATTATTAAATTGAACTTTAATTATTTATTTCAGAAGTAAGTCTGAGTCTAAAATGAATATTTTGTCTGTTCCATCCGTTATATAAATTTCTAATGTATTATTCTTATTATAAGAATGTGAAATCCCTCTACTCTCCTTTATATCCAAATTCAACTTTCTATTTTCTAATTCTTCAAGAGTTTCAATATCTCTCAGAAAACTAATTTTAGAAATTCTCTTACATCATTTTCTCCCTTCTTGTTAAATGAAATATTTTTCCATCTATTACATCTACTCCTTATACTTAATAAATATCATCCAAAATCACTCTATTTTTGATTGTTGTTTATAATTCCAAATTTACATAATGAATTTCTGAATTCTCATTCTATCCACATGATTCAACAAGATATGAACAATTTAGAAAATGTAATCCCTTAATAATAATCATCTCAGATACTTGAGTTTCTAAATGTACTTTATTATCTCTTTCTATTTTCCTTATTACTATATAATCATTGGGATTGTATTCTAAATTATTACTTTAAGAAAGAATAAGAAATGTTAATGATACAAAAATGGCCAGAACACAAATTATTAACATCTATTAGACTTAATTTCTATTGTATGATATCACTCTTTTGTTTGGTTTTAAAAATTTATACCTCATCTTTGTTATTTTTATTAATGTAAAATTCTAATGATTGTTAAATTACACTAAGTAATACATAAATCCTTACATATTTATAAAAAATAATCATCTAAATATATATTGTTTCTTATTTTTAACTATTCTACAATTATAAATAGATTAATCCTAAAATAGAGATTATTTATATATTTTTTTTTCTATACATTATAAAAATTAGTAAATGATAATTATATTTGCCTTATTGTTAGCAATTATTTAATCACATCCTGTGAGCTAAATTAGATCACATTCTTTGAGATTCCATCCAAATTAAAATATCGTTAAAGAATTGCAATTATACATTGAAATCAATTAAATAAAGGCTGCTTCAATATCAACTTGTGTTGGAGTATTATTTAAATATTAATTATAAGTCTTTGTTGAAATGCTCAATCAGATTTGCAAATCAACCTGAATTTAAGGAAATTAATGGCCATTTTGAAATTGTTTCATTAGTTGGTACAATTAGCGTTTATGGTTAACATGTTCATATTAGTTTATCAGACTCAGAAGGAAAAATGATTGGAGGACATTTACCATTTTATGATAATGAATGCATCATATATACAACAGCTGAAATTGTTTTACTTGAACACTTAGAAACTATCTATGCAAGAAAACTAGATCCGACTTATGGATATCAAGAACTATATATAATTTGAAATTTTTATTTTTTTAAAACAAATCCAAATCCATTTCTTTAATAACTTTGTTTAAATAAGGTTTTAAAAAATTAATGTATTTAATGGAATTCCCAACGATTGAGATAAAACAAAAATCATTTACTATACAAATTTTTAATTTTGATGACTAATTTTATAAAAACGAATTTATAAATATTTTAGGCAATCTGATTTTCTGTTAAAAAGCCATATTGATGTTGATTTTCTTGATTTATATAATTCATAGATATTCGATAATTTGTTTTAATGTAGATAACCAATTTGTATATAAATAGAGCTATTTATAATATAAACTTACTAAAGTACTTATGCTTTTCCAAACTAATCAATCATTAAATATGAAAAAAATAAACAAAGAAGCAGAATTGATATGATTTTGAATTTTCTAAAAATATAGATTGAATTATGGTAGAAAATAGATTATTTAAATCAAACAGAAGAAGTCTATTTGTCAATCTCTGAACGAGTTCTCGTCTTTTGTTAAGACATTAATCTTCTTCTTTAAATAATTGGGTTCTTTTCGATTGAAAATTATTTGCCTCTTGGTATTGGCGGTGAATGCATCAAGCTTTGAGTCAACAAATATTATTCGAATTTATCTTTTGTAGATGCCTATAGGTTCTACTCTACTTTAGTTTTTGTGACAGAACACCCCATTAATTTTTTTTATTATTTTTAATCTTATACGATTCAAAGGAATTAATTTTTAAATATTGTATTTCTACTGATAGTAGATACTAAATAAAGAACAATTATTGAACCTAAAATTAAAAGCTCCAGTTTAATTTATTTAAAAAATCACTCCTTTCCAATTTTATAGATATAAAACAAATTTATCCGAATTGATGTTTCTTTTATTAATTTTTAATTTATTTGCTTCATCACTTTATTTCTAATCCAAAATACGATTTAGAGAATATGTTGATGATTATCAAATTATATTAATTTGCTCTTGTTAAAAAATAATAATATCTAAAAAAAAATTTATCATCTGAGAAAATTACTTAGCTAAATAAATAAGTAAATCAAAATAAAATTTAGATCAATTATAAGTAAATTTATTAAATGAAAAATAAAAAAGGAAAAAATTAGAAATATTTTTTAGGAATTTATGTTCATTCTTATAATTTATTTGAAATAAACGTGAATCAAAAAAATTATTCTCCTCATTGTCGTCTTGAGTAATCTGAATAGAAGAAATATATTGATTTGCCATATTCCCACATATTTATGTAAACAAAATAATTTATTTTATAAAATATGCTTCATTATTTTTAGATAGTAAATCCAGCCTTATATACAAATTATTATAATTTTCTTCACCAAATTTTGATTAAATTAAAAAAATAATTAAAATTAAAAAAATTATTCTTTGGGATTGAAATAGTTTATTTGTTGTTGCTTGTTTATGATAACAAGATTAAAAAAACAAAAACAAATTAAAAAGCAAAATTTTGTTCTTTTATCATCATTGGTATGCCCAAAAAATAAATTATAAAAAAAAGAAAAGTATTTTATATCAAAATATAAAATATTATTCTTACGATGAATAGAAAATTGTTAAGTGAGATTTATTAAGTGAATTATTGTATTTAATTAATATAGAGTTTGTTTATTTATAACAATTTCATACATTTATTTATAAAACTACTAAAAAATGTAAAGTGAAAATTTCGATTAATACTTTGTTAGTTTCTATTTGTTTTAAATTCTTAACAGACAAACTTAAATCTAGGTTTATTTACTTAGATTTATATAAAATTTACAATCATTTAATTAAATATTGAAAAGAAAATGAATTAAAGAAATGAAAAATAAGAATAATGTACTAACTTATATTTACCATAATTAATAAACAAAGTAAATTTTTAAAAGATAAATATAGCCACTAGAAGAAAATTCAAAAACCTTTAAGTAAATAGGATCAATTAACACTTTAAAGACAATTAGTCAATTTAAAAATGATAGTATATCAGAGTTTTAAATAAAAAATGATGTTTCATATAATTATTCAAATAAATTTACTTAAAGTAATAAAGAAAAAAGCTAAATTTAATCTAATAGAGCACATACAGTCTGCAAATAATATCAATTTGTTAATTAATTAAGAAATGAAATTTATTATAAAAATTATTTCATAGGAGGAATTAAAGAAATTCTAAGTAAAGATAAATATTCTTAAAATTTAAAATAAATGTGTTTAGATTAACTAAACCAAATCTATAAAAATGTCACTTGCAATACTTAAATTTTTAATTCTAAAAAATAAATGCCTAATCTTATTTTATCTAAAAAATATTCAATAGCAATAGATTTAGATGAAACACTTGTGCATTCTGAAGAGTTATAACCAAATAAAAGATATGATTTTTAAAATCTTCAATTTGGAGCTTTTATTAGACCCTATAGCTAATAATTTTTATAACTGGTGAGTAAGCATGCTAATTTATTCATTTTTACTTCTTCCAATTTAAAATATGCTAAAATTGTAAATATTAATCAATAATTTCAATAAGATTGCATAAATTCTTGATCCTTAGAAAGAATACTTTTAAGGAATATTTTTTCGAGATCATTGTACTGTATTGAAAGACAATACCTAAACAAAAGATATAAATATAATTAGTGGTGATTTAACGAAAATTATATTAATTGACAATAATCCCCAATGTTTTATGTAGAATATGATTTATATAAAGTCCCTAACCTTTTAACGGAATACCAATTATACCTTTTTTAGATAGCAAAACAGACTAAGAACTGATAATTTTATCTTAGTTTCTAGAGAGAGAAATTTTCAATGTGGAAGATGTTTAACCAGTTATCAAGAGATTCTTTTAATTCGAGTAATTTCGATAATTTTAAAACGGTGTGTAAGCATTTGAAATACTTCATAATTGATTATTTTAGAGATAAGAAAAATGTGATCAAAATATTGAAATTATAATTATTATTATTGTATTTCAATTTATTTAATTATAAATTCTAAACTTTTTCAAGTGATTCTCTTTAATGTTGACAATTAGTTTGCATAATAAAAACTTTAGTAAAAATCATGTATTTTATATAAATTATTATAAAATCTTTCAAATGATATAATATTAATGAATAATCAAAATATATTTCTAAAAATATAATAATTCATTGGAGATTGTCCATTCATATATTATTACCACATTTATGTTTAATACCATTACTAATAGTTGTAGTACTAAGGTTAATAAGAATGAAAATAAGTTGAAGAGTTTTGGCAGTTCGAAACCTCCTAAACTTATTTAGCTTCTACAAATGGTTCATCCTTTAAACATTTATAGGTTTATTTTTCTTATTCTTCTATTTGTTTTTTCAATCTTCTAGTCCTCCTTTCTTTTTTTCCTACTCTCCCTTCATGTTTATAAAGAGATAGGATTGCTTTTCCTGTTGAAAATTTTATTCCAAATTATTTAGCGGCTTGCTTTATGGTACAAGTGCCTTATTTTACTTTTTCGATGAATGCTAATCGTGTTTCATCTGTAATTTTCGCGTATTTCATAGAATCTTAAAATAATTATCTTCAATTAAAGTAAATTGCTTTGCGATTATAAATCATTAGATTTAGAATTCGACAGATAAATTATACAAGAGTTAATATTATTTATAAGATTATTAATTGATATGTTAAAATCAGAAGGTTAAAATGCTTATAAAGAAGTAAATTTGGAGTTTGTAAAACATTCTATTTCCAAAATATCTTTTTCTATTCTTGTGCTATGATTTGGTTATGATTTATGAATTTTAAATAAAATCATTTTATTTGCTTTAGAATTACTTATAAATAAGTTCCCAATCTTATTTTGTCAAAGAATTCAGTTAATTGAGCCAATATTTTTCGAACAAAAAAAATTATTGAAAATAATCTCAAGTAAAAGTTAAAACTAATTGATAACATTATTTATTAGCAATTATTATACTTTTTGTAGAAAAAAAGGGCTCATTCGATAATTTACAGAATAATTTAAATTAACCCTTTTTTTTTTTTAAATATCGCAAACTAATTTTAACTAAATAGTTATTAAACTCTATAAATGCATAATTAATATTAATTTTAGGGTTTGTTTCTTATTACATCAAAGTTTTTAAATATATAAGAGGAAATAATTATTTGATTATTGAAGATGATCTGAATTATATTTTTATATCATTTTGCAGTAAAAATAGATTTCCAATTACAATGTAAAATTCTTCAAGAGTCTATATTATTCAGAAAGAAATATGTTTAATCAAGTATAAAATTAATAAAATTTTTTACTCAAAAATAAACTTGCCCAAGCAGCAAGTTTAATTTATTTTTTGTTAAATAGATTATATTAGAAGATTTTATATAAAAAAGAAACAACATTATTCAGGCTCCATTTTCAAAGGTTGAATATGGATCAAATTATAATTTGGATGTTTAATGGATTTTTTGATTATGCTAATAATTTAATTTATCCAATAATATGATAATCTAGTTGGAAATGATATTTCTTCTGATTTAAGATTATTAGATTGATTTCATACTAATATTGAGTTAATGCTGCAAGTTACATAATTTTTATTTATGAACAATTAATATTAGAAACATTATTATAACTGTTAAAATATATTTATAAATCATTTCTAAAACAATGGAAGAACTATTTTTTCTAATATGTATATTTGTTTAGTGACTAAATTAAATCAAATACATGAAACACATAGAATGCTATGTAAAATTTAATTTATAAATAAAATGCTAATAATATTTATCATTAATATTAGAATCAATAAATGATTTAAAGATTGTTAATTGGATGATTAAAGAAGTAATTTTTACATAATTTCTAAAACTTTCTAATTTTTATTGAGAATTTAGATTCAATTAATAAATTTAGAATTATGCAACAATAAGAATACGGAAGTTTCATTTCTTTAAGGTTTTTTAAATATATAAGTTTAGTGATTTTTTAACAAATATTAGAGTATTTACAATGAAATTATGAAAAATATAATTTTACAATTAAAGAAGATTTCAACAATACTTAAGATTCTAAAAAATGTCTCAATAATTTGATCCTATATTATAGTAATTAATTTAAACTTTGTTGGTGCCAATAGTTGAAAAACTTGATAAAAATATTTAACAAAAATTAGATGCTTAAGTATAACATTATGAATCAGGTAACAAAACTAAGAAAAAGGAATTGTTTAGATTAGACACATTTTTTAATGAGGATTGAAAACCAGAAGAATATATAGATTCAATGTAAATAAAAAGTTAGAGATTGCACAATATAATCTAAAGCATTTCAACAATGTATAGAACTAAAGCATATTAAGAGTATAATTAAAGAAAATCATTGCATCATCGATCAATTCATTTATGAATGTGTTCAAATGATATATCTGAGTAATTATCTTTGGAAGATGTTGAAGAAAATCTTAATAAGAGTAATTAAGATTATGAGAAATTTATAAGTTTGAGAGATTTAAACTGAAAGAATAATTGGAACAAGATAAGATAAAAAGTTAGAGATTAGATTAGTATGTGTAAATATCATTACAAAAGTTAGGATTATAAAAAAAGATGTTTTCAATGAAGGAATTATAAGAATTCATAAAATAATGTCAAATTTAAACTTTAAATGTTGTGAATGAGTATAAAACAGAAAGATAAGAATTCAAAAATAGAAAATCTTAATTGTTAAGTTCTTATATCTAATAATAATACATATACAAATACTTAATCAAAATTTAAGAATTTGTATTAAGATAGCGTAAAATTTGATGAAAAAGGATTTTGCAAAACAGAGTATATTTCAAATAAAAAGTAATTCTAAAATAATAATAAAAATGATTTAATGAGATTAGGATAATTATCCTTATTTAATATGAATAAAGTTAAAAAAAGATTTAATAATTTACCCTAAAAATTAAAAAATGCTATTAATATTGATAATAATTTGAACATATTTTTCAAAATGCTTTTTCTGATGCTCCTCTTTAATCTATAATGATTCCATGTAGTTTATATTAAACATTAAATTTATTTTCCAAAACAGTTTTTAGATCTTAGATTGCAATTTAATGAGATCTTTTATCATTTGTACTTGTATATATTTTTGCATTCTGTAAATAATAATATAATAAATTACACTGCTGTTATCAAGAACAGAAACTATATAAATTTCCTTAATATTATAAGCATTACTCATAGTATCAAGATAATACTTTAAACTTTATTCTTAAACAGTATTGTTTTATAATCCAAACACTCCACCTGGATTTGTAAATACATCAAAATCATCTATTCCTCTGGTTCTAAAAAATGCAGCTACTTAATTTCTTGCTATAGAACTACTATCAGTAATTGCAAGCACTTTGATAGATTTATTTTATTATTGAATGTTTCCTTGTCCATATCTATAAATGATAAATAATATATACTAGGCATTTTAATGTTGTTATGATATTCCATCAAGACCAAAAAATTGTTATAGATTTTTTTAGAATCTAGGATCTTATTCTAATCTTTAAAGTTTATTTTGTTCAATTGCACTGATTTATTATTATTGTAAAGATTATTTAGATACTTATTTTTTTGGTTAAGAAGGATCATCAGTAGCAAAAAATTTATTAAGATTTTTTTAAAAATTAGGATCACTAACTAATCTAGGATCAGGTGGAGCTTCATTAAATTATTAATATTTAGGTTAGGATTATTATTATGATTGAATAATTGATTATTTTTACATAACAGGTTTTTTAATTTATGTTGGATCATCAGCAGCAAAGAATTTATTTAAATTTTATTAAAACTATTAATCATTTTGATTTCTTGATTATGGTTGATATTAGGGTTAAATAGATTGTTAATAATTATTATTTGATCTAGAATTAGTTTATCTAATATTATGATTAGATCTATTAGGCATAGATGGATCATCGGCTGCAAAAAATTTAACAAGATTTTTCTAAAATTAAGGATCAGAAGGAATTGAATTAGTAGATTTGGTATGTTATTTAGGTTATATTTGATTAGGATCATCAGCAGCAAAAAACTTAATTAAATTCTTTTGAAATTGTGCATCATTATTATTATAATTATTGTTATTAGATCCACCAGATCCAATTTAACCTGCAGATGTAGCATAACCAGCTTAATTTGATTAAACCCCATAAGGTGTATATTATTTTTATTAAATAGATTCTGATTGATAACTAATTGGATTTCTAGCAAGAGGGGCACCAGTGAGAGGATCTAAATTTTAATAATAAAAATACTTATAGAGCTAGCTTATAAAGCAATTTTTTTATCAAAATTAGAATTATTATATTGTTATTGATTGTATGATTAATCAGGTCTTAATATTGCACCTGTTAATGGATCTATAAAAATTATTGTAAAGATTATTTTACTTATGCTACTAGATTATAAATATAATTATTTCTCTTTAAGATTAATTGAATCAATAGTAGCCTCTTATTAATATCTAGTTTTGGAACTTGGACGGTTATACATTTTATTCTATATATAAAAATTATAATGAATATAAAATTAGCCACAATATCAATAAGTAATACTTTGGATTTGAATTAATTATGTAAAAAGTTTGGCAGCATTTATATTAGCAAGAATAGTACTTTCATCTATATCATGATGTCCTTCAATTTTTCCATTTAAGGCAATTTGATAATCTTCTTCAATTCTAGATAATTGTACAGCTTCTTTTATGGTTAAATGATTGTTCCAAATTTACAAAGCTAAAATACATGATTTTAGATTTTCTGATTATAATTTAAAGTATACCAACTTAGGAATCCAAACTTACAATTTGCCAACTACTCAATTCATTAAGAATGGTTTCAATTCTCATTTAGTCATATTATTTTAAAGGTTCAACATCAATACCAAAATTAACCTTTAAATGCATACCAAATTTTCTATTAAATTATTTTAATTGAGGATCTAATTTATTTCTTTATATCTCATAAAGTTCAGATTCAGAATGCTCTCTAAATAATACAGTATCTCTTTCTAAATAACTAATTATTGAATGTTCCATAAATTCTCTCATTGTTTCATCTGCTTCAATATCAACAGCATTTCTAGCCAAAGTCATTAATGGCATTGTATTAGATTGCACAAATTCCTTTTGTGAATTAAATTCATCAGCAATACATTAAGCTAATTAAGGAGTGGGTAAAATCAATTCATTCTTTGAAGGTGTTTTCACTGTTTTCCCATCCAGCTAAAGATCTAAATAAATTTATATACCTTGATTAACCATTAATGATGTGAATTGATTACTCCTAATGCCATCTCAATTTTAGCTTCTTTATAGAATCTCTTGATTTATAAAGTTTACGATAATGAGATTTGCTCAGTAAATTTAAACTTTAGGAGCAATCCTCTCATTTTATATAAATTATATTAAAAAATAGCAGATTAATTATCTTTATAGATGATTAATATAATTCAACTAGATCCCATAAATTATTAAGCAAATGTTCTCTTAGCAGAAGCAAATACAGATGAAAAGGCTCCTCCTGATGAACCAGTTGTTTCGTGTTTATCCAAATTTATAGCCTCAGTATCTCTCATTGTAGCTCTGGCTATAATAATTGCTGGATCTATAGTAATAATTATTCTATTTATATTTGATTATGTTTTACCCTTGATCACAAATTTCATCAATTATTATTATCACTTGATCAAAGTTTTCTAACAATGTTTTTTTATTGATATGTTCCTTTGTTATATGATTAAGTGATTCATAGATTCCATTTATCACTTATGATAATATAATCTCATTCTCTTCAAAATCACCCAAAACAAATAAGTGTACTTCATTAAATGCTTTCATCACTATATTGAATTAACAATATTGAAATATTTCAGCTTTAATATCATATACATTTATTATACTTTCACTTCCTTTAGTCAAACGAGCACCAACTCTCTTTCCTTTCTCCCAAATATTATGCTCAAATTATTTTTACACGTCAATATTTGTTAAGACTCCTTCTGGTACTCTTAATAAATTCTTTGCAAACAATTATGGATAGTATTTTGAATATAATCTTGTCCCATCCTACGATCTCACAAATATTATTCCAAATATTTTAGATAGAGAAGTAGATAATTAACTCATTCAATTTATTTATTATATACTTTATTTCATTAATAAACATACTCAAATATATTTATCAAACCATCATTCTTATATTAAAGAAATGTATTGATCCCTCATTCTTCATTTTATCCAATAAATAATTATTTATTCTTTATAAATATATCAATATCTATGTATCCTTTTTATCTATATTTTTATCACTTATTAATAACATACCCTTCTTAATAATTTAAATTAATTAACTTTCTAATTTAATTCCTTTCTCTTTTATATTATGTTCTAATCTTTTTTATCATTACTAATTACCTAATTACAAAATATTTTACTATTAATTTCAATATTACTCTATTTGAGAAAAAATAAATCATCTTTTTAACTTTTCATATTCACCTCTCTTAATTCAATTATTTTGATATTAATAAGTAATTAAAAAATAAGATAATAAATATAATTATAAGATGTAAAGAGCATAATCAGCAGCACCTAATTTCGGTAGAATAAATAATAAAATATAGACTTTCCTATGGAGGATATGTTTAAAATAGCCACAAGATAAACATCAGTTTTTGGAATTGAAGGATATGAAGCTCCAAAGAAATACGTTGATCCTATAAAATAAATGGAAGATAGAAAATTTTTAACATAAAAGAAAGGTAATTTATCTTAGTAATTTAAAAAAGGTTAAAAGAATAGAAATCATGTTACTAAAAGAGGTCATTATTTAGAAGATTTGAAAAAGTTATATGAAAAGTTACCTGCACCAAATAAATATAATATTGTTAAACCATGGGTTTCAGAAAAATAAGAAGGAAGGGTAAAGAGTGCTCCATAAAAGAGGTATAAATGTGGAATTACATATTTAAATAGATGCACGTTTATTGATTAAATATTCAAAGAAGCAAAAGTAAGAGGAATTCCTGGAGCTGGAAAATATAATGTGATACCAACACTTGAAGAAGTTTTGAAAAAAGTTGAAGAAGAAAAGAAAAAGAAAATAGGGTAAAAGAAATAGTTATATAAATAACATAGACCAGTTGAAAGACCAACTTATTTGAATGAAATTTAACATTTAGCAGTGATTAATCCAGGTCCTGGAAATTATAATCCACATGTAATATATATATATTGAATATTATTTAGAGAATAGAAAGAAAATTAAAAATAAATGAAACTAAACCAGCTGATTAAATAACAAAACATAAAGAATAAGAAAGAAAGAGAGGTAAATCATGTTTACCAGATATTGGAACCTACAATCCTGAACCAGTTGAATTTAACTCTTTTAATAAACTATAATAAATGTATAAAAAGAATGACAAATCATCTGATAAACATGTAGTTTATATTAAAAAATATTATAGAATTTTGGAAGAGATGAAAGATTTAAAGATCCAAAAAAAAGTAAATCAAAATAAGTACCTGTTCCTGGTCCAGGGTAATATCCAATGATTGTATAATGGGCTGGAAAAGATAAAGATAAAAATAATCCAAAGAAAAAGAATTATTTTGATGTCACTACAAGAGGCATTTCTCGTTCAATTTATTATTGAATTAAACTTTTTTTAATTATTAAGTTTTTGATTATATAAAATGAGTGGAATGATGAAATCTTTATATATTGAGGACAATGTATCAATTAATTTAAAAAATATACCTATTCCTTAACCTTTAAATGGTTAAGTATTGATTAAAGTAGAGTTCGCTCCAATAAATCCATTTGATAAAGAATTTCTAAATGGATATAAAATAGGATTAAAACCATTAGTAGGTACAGTACCTGGATTTGAAGGATCAGGTACTGTTATAGCTTCAGGGTAATTAGAAATATTCAAAATATTTAGTGGAGGATTATTAGGTTGGTAATTAAAAGGAAATAGAGTAGCATTTTACACAGAGAATTAATTTGGATCTTTTGGTTAATATGCTATTGCAGATGTTAATTATTGTACTGAATTACCTAAAAATATATCATTCTAAGAAGGTTGTTGTAGTTATATCAATCCTTTATCTGTTATAATGATGTATTAATTACTTGGAAATGCTTCTGGAATAATATCTACTGGAGCATCAACTAATTTAGGAAGAATGCTTATGAGATATTGCTAATCTAAAGGAATTAATGTCATTAATATTGTTAAGTCTTAAATAGAAGAAAAAATATTAAAGGATGAAGGAGCTAAACTTATATTAAATATAAATTAAGATGATTTTGATGATAAATTAAAACTTATGTCTTCTTCATACAAGTATCATTTCAAATTATAATAAATACTTAGTANTGGAAATTATAATCCACATGTAATATATATATATTGAATATTATTTAGAGAATAGAAAGAAAATTAAAAATAAATGAAACTAAACCAGCTGATTAAATAACAAAACATAAAGAATAAGAAAGAAAGAGAGGTAAATCATGTTTACCAGATATTGGAACCTACAATCCTGAACCAGTTGAATTTAACTCTTTTAATAAACTATAATAAATGTATAAAAAGAATGACAAATCATCTGATAAACATGTAGTTTATATTAAAAAATATTATAGAATTTTGGAAGAGATGAAAGATTTAAAGATCCAAAAAAAAGTAAATCAAAATAAGTACCTGTTCCTGGTCCAGGGTAATATCCAATGATTGTATAATGGGCTGGAAAAGATAAAGATAAAAATAATCCAAAGAAAAAGAATTATTTTGATGTCACTACAAGAGGCATTTCTCGTTCAATTTATTATTGAATTAAACTTTTTTTAATTATTAAGTTTTTGATTATATAAAATGAGTGGAATGATGAAATCTTTATATATTGAGGACAATGTATCAATTAATTTAAAAAATATACCTATTCCTTAACCTTTAAATGGTTAAGTATTGATTAAAGTAGAGTTCGCTCCAATAAATCCATTTGATAAAGAATTTCTAAATGGATATAAAATAGGATTAAAACCATTAGTAGGTACAGTACCTGGATTTGAAGGATCAGGTACTGTTATAGCTTCAGGGTAATTAGAAATATTCAAAATATTTAGTGGAGGATTATTAGGTTGGTAATTAAAAGGAAATAGAGTAGCATTTTACACAGAGAATTAATTTGGATCTTTTGGTTAATATGCTATTGCAGATGTTAATTATTGTACTGAATTACCTAAAAATATATCATTCTAAGAAGGTTGTTGTAGTTATATCAATCCTTTATCTGTTATAATGATGTATTAATTACTTGGAAATGCTTCTGGAATAATATCTACTGGAGCATCAACTAATTTAGGAAGAATGCTTATGAGATATTGCTAATCTAAAGGAATTAATGTCATTAATATTGTTAAGTCTTAAATAGAAGAAAAAATATTAAAGGATGAAGGAGCTAAACTTATATTAAATATAAATTAAGATGATTTTGATGATAAATTAAAACTTATGTCTTCTTCATACAAGTATCATTTCAAATTATAATAAATACTTAGTACAACAGTTTTGTTTGATTCACTTGGAGGAGATCTATTAAGTAGAATATTAAATTTAATGCCTAATGGATCAAAAGCTTATCTTTATGCTAATTATTCAAAAAAATCATTAGAGGGAATTTATTGTGCTAATTTAATGTATTAAAATAAAAAAATATTTGGGTAATTACAATATATATATATATTTTATTAGATTTTCATTTGTAGATAATTTATAAACTAAAAATATTATTCAATTAAAATTGATGATGAATGAAGTGTTTAATAATATTTAAGGATATTTTAAAACTTTACCAACCTAAATAGTAATTATTAGTAATAAATATAAGTTTTCATTAGAAGAATTTGAAAAAGCCTTATAATCTAAGGAGAAAGCAATTATAAAAATATGATACTTTTATGATTTGTTAAATAAAAATAATGAATCATTAGAAAATCTAGTTTCGAAGGCTGCCCTCTTTTTAAGTTGCAGTCAATATTAATTAATATATTAAATTTTTTTCTTTTTTCAATTCAGTTATTATTTAGAATTTTTATCTTTATAAGTATTAATAGCCTAATGAATTGAGTATGAAATACTTATCTGAGATCTTTTAAAAAAAGAATCTAAATTTTTTGAAGTTATATTTTCAATTTCTTCATTATTGTTAATAATTCTTTATTTGATAAGATGTAATTCTTATTTTAATTGATTAATATAAATTAAAAATGATACAATCACTAATGATAAATGATTTTTTGCATTAAATGGCAGATTCTTATTCCAGTATGTTGTTAATATTTATGCTACTTTTTAGAAATAACAATATTTATATTATATTTAGTTTAATAATTGATTAAATGGGAAAGAATTAATCATGTTGTTCTGTAAGAATTAGATAACCAACAAATACACTTGATAAAAAAGAAGTGTTTTTGTTATGTGATGTATTAAAACACTCACAAGAAGGCAATCAATCAACAACTTTAGATTAATAATGTTTTGAAAGGATATTTCAAGACAATCCTCTTTTTGGTTAATAAGTCTTTGAGTATTGTTAATATTAATTAAAAATAAATCCCTTACCTTTAGAAGGGTGCATTAATATAAGTAATTTAATATTCGATTAATTTCTAGTTTAAGGCATACTTAGTACATAAGATATCACTCCTATTTGTTTGTAAATATGTATGGAAAATTACGATTCTTAGTTACAAATTATCACAGCTTAATAAGCATTTCAATTTATTGGGGTATTTAAAACTAAATCTAATTTTAAAGTTAATAACGTCTATCTTTTTAACATTTTGTATTCGAAAGTAATAAATTGATGCCTCTGTATTGGAAACTCTAGTTAATTCATTGTTTAAAGAAAAATAAATGAAAATTAATGAATTCTTATCAATTCTTGAAGCCAATTTCCCACATGTGTAGAAATTAATTCGTTTATACCTGTAATATAGATTATTACAAAAACCATTCAATTAAATGAGAGTTGCTAAAATAGATAAAGACTCTTTTAGTCTTAAATATGAATGGTTAGCTATAATGGGATTAGCTACTTCTGAATTACATAGACATGGATAATTAACATTATTATATTAATCAGCATTACAATCTATTAATTTTTAAGAGATCTTAATTTCTATGTAATAAACACAAATTCTATTTGTTGCTACTTTCTAAGATGAATAAACAAAAAAAAAATTAACCTTAGCTATTTATAATAAATCATAATGGTAAATAGATGGAAAAGATTCTGATAATATTATTGCATTTTAATTAGCACCATCATTTAATATTTTTAGATCAAAATCCAAGAATAATTTCAATCCAAATGGTTTTGGTTATAACTATGATTAAAAGAATAATAGATTTTTACTTTGGATTGGTCCATAAAATAGTTACTTTTTAAATTCATAAAGAGTATAAGAAATAAATTAAATTAGTTATTAACAATAGAAATTTGGAGATGTGAAGAGCTCTAATCAAAATTAAGAAAGAGTATAATTGAAGATGATAGAACATCTACATTAAGTCCAAAAGATTAAAAAAAAAGAGTTTCTTTTAAATTAATGGATGAAAACTAACCAACTAGAAAAAGTTCTTCTGTTACTCCAACAGCAAGAAAAACAAATATGATTGAGAATCCACCAATTTCACCTCCTCCTTATGTTTAACCTATGATTAATATCCAACCATTGTAATATTAATGCTACTATTAGCATTCTTCAAACTACTTAAGATGGCTAAGAGAGTCCTCGATCACCACATTTCAAAACTGATAATATTCCAACCTTTAATAATCCTGAAAGTTCAATCCTTAAATCATACCCAAATCCTACCAATTCCACTAATACACAGTAGCTCACCAGACCATCATAAAATAGACCATCTTAATCCATTATTGATAAATATTAAACTGGAACAAGACAAACTAGAAGCTATTCAAATAATGACATTAGAAAAAGTGTAGATGATATTTTAAAGAGATATGAAAAGAAACCATGAAATTTTATTATTCCTATACAAATCTATATTTTATACTATATTCATAGACTTATAAAATTCATATATTATTATACATATAAATCTATTACATACTTTAAGATATTCAAAATATTTTTATAATTATAATTTAAATTATCTTTAGAAACTTTTATTTTATATCTCTCTCAATTATAAATAAATCAATAATAAATTTGCAAATTAACAAGAAATTCATCAATCCATCAATTTTCTATATTAATATTATAATTAAGCTATCATAACATTCTTTGTTAATCAACATTTTTAAATATAACATTCAAAAATTAATTAGAATATTTTTATTATAATTATCACTTTATAATTTTTAGAAAATATACATTCATTTGGATTGTATAATTGATTTACTAAAATGACTTTGATGTAAATCATAACTTTGTTAAGTTTAAATAATAGATTTTTGCAGAGTGTCAAATATTGATGGTTTTGATTGGTTTGTTTATAAAATTTGTTACTATTATTAAAATTAATTTAATAGTAGTTGGTATTTTTAATTCAATTAATCGAATTACTATTATTTTTCATGAAGTTATTACTCTAAATTTTTTATTTATCCTTTTAATTATTCACCATTTTATTTTATTTCATCAACATTAGAAGAGGAATCATCATCTTCAATAATTATTCCTGAATTTGTTTAAATCTTTAATTTAGTTAATAGTTTTTATTTATCTAAATCCAATTTAACTATTGTTTCATATTAATCGCAAATTATCTTGATTAATTCTTCTGTATGTTAATTTGAATTTTTAAAATCTAATTCTAATTTCTTTTTCAAATTATTAATCTATTCTTAAAAATTTGGTGCATTGAAATCTCTCTTATTAAATTATTTAAGATTTTAAAATTTTTATCTTTTATATTATTATATTAATATAATACCTCTCATATTATATATCGTCTTAAAGCACTTCATTCTTATAAATAAGATCATCACATTTATTAGTTAATTCATTTATTGTTGTCTCAAGTTGTAATATTTTTTCCTCGTAATTTATTACTTATTCATTACTACCTCCTATAGCAGCTTTCCTTGCTTCTAATAAAGTTTTAATTTATAATTTTAGTTTCATGTTTTCTAACTTTAATGAATTGATTTCCCCTTGCAAAATAATTTTATCCATCTTTATAAATATTAATTAAATAAATATTATTGTTCTAAATACTTATACAGACTTCTAGAAATATTTAATGTTAAAAATAAGATTTTATAATCTCAATTTTAATTATTTAAGCATATTTAGAAAAATTATGAATTAAATCAAAAGTCAAATTAATCTCCTTATATTAATACTTTTCATTTTTATAACTCCTGCAATTTTGTAAATGGAATTTTTTCTGCTCTATATATTAAAGAAGATTAATTAACTACTCTTTCTTTTCTTCTAAATAAAAATTTGCTCTTTATACTAAAAACATATATACCTTCGACTTTGGTAAAATTATTATAAATTACTTAATCTAAAGGGTTAACATTGTATTTTTTCAAAGTCTTAAGATTTTGCCAATATGAATTTCCTTTCTAATCTTATAACTCAATAAAATCTGATTTATTGTTTTTTATTCCTAATTCTTTTTAATAATTTTAAAGTCTTGTTTTAATATATTTATTATTTAATTATTGTATATTATTTATAAACTCTATTTCATATAGGATGGCTATTTTTTTATGTTAATAATCTATTTATTATTAATAATAATTTAATTTTTCTAAGGAAAGTAGAGAAGAAGCTATTTTTATTGAACAGCTAATATTAATGAAATTTCTTTTTTTTTGGTTGTTTTAATCTAAAAAAATAGGTTCAAATAAGCTTGTTTTATTTCAATTTTTTATTAACAAAATTTTTCCTTTCTTTGCAATTCTTATCCTACAAAATAATTAAGTCTTTGTAATGGATTTATGTGAGCTTTAATCTTTTTTTATATGCTTTTTGTTTGATTTTATTAGCTGCATCAATCAATTATTATTTTGCCAATCTTTGTTTTCTTCAATTAGTAAATACTTTCGAGAGCATTTAAACATTATTACTTTAAATTTCTTAACACAAATTATCAAATAATATATAATTAATTAAAAAATAATTTCAAGCATCTGCATTTTATTTTTCCCCTTTAATTGTTTTGAGAAATTCATTATTGATAACACCAGAATTACACAAATGATATCCTACTCTATTTATTTGAACATTTAATTTTGATCTATCAACATTAGTTTTTTGACTAGATGAAAAACCCTAAAGATATATTAAAATTTATTACTTTAATTTTCTTATCAATAATATATTAATGTCTTTAAAGTAATAAATTAGCTGATTCAGATTCTGGAGATATTAAAATTTTGATAATGAAATTCAAAGCAAAAAAGATGATTAAAATAAATGCGAAATATTCTATTTAATTTTCTTCAATAGAATTTGAAGTATAGACAATTAAACCAGCATTAGAAAGAATCCCAAAGAAGGTAATTATATCCAAAATAATTAACCAATTACCTATGCTTGCGGCTCCTTAAGGAAATGGTCTTCTTGATAAACTTACAAAATTAATTTTATCTACTTAGATCTTGCCAACATTTTATGCAAATCCTAGGATAAAGCAAGCAGGATATGATAGTCCAAATACAACAAGAAAACTAAATTAGATAATTAATTCCATATAATCTTTAACACTTCCATCAACTTCTTCATTTGTTTAATAAGGTTATAAATCAAATTAGCTTTCAATAAAAGGATCAATATCATTGAAAGTATGTGGAACAGGTATTTCATCTATTGCTTTCATTTTCTTCATCAACTTTTCTTATATATAAGGTACTAAAACAGCTGTTATTAAACCAGAAAAGTTGGAAATAAATATGGTGCTTAATTATAAAGATAATATTTGAAAACAATCGTATGTTTAATCATTGACTTTGCATAACTCCAAAGAAATAAAGTAATTGCTTAAGAAGGATATGATGAAGAATGAATTAAAACTAGATTATAATTTAAATTATTACGTATTTACAAATCTAAATATAAAAACTTTTGCTACTAAAGAATTTTCATATGATGACAAAATTTTATGATTTTCTAATGAATTAAAAATCATAACTAGATTTTGATAAATAAAATTAAAAATTGCTATAAGTATTGAATTTAATAATCCAGGTAATTATTAAGAGAAAAAAGCATCTGCTCCAGTTTCTATCATATAATTTTTAAAAAAGAATATTCCTAACACACATCCAATAACACATGCAATAATTAAAAAACTTACACCTAATCCAAATAATTATGTTATTCTTCTTTTAATAGGAGGATAGAATTATTCATTTAAATCATCATCAGTAATAGATCTTAAAAAGTCTCCTTAAAAAGCAGGTCGTAATGCTTCTCCAGTTTCAAAATTAAGTTATCCAAATTAAACACTAAATAAAAATTATTTTCTTCTCCAATATACAATAAAAAATGAACTCCAAATAACTATTGTTAATGAGAATAGAATTACTATTGGTTTTTTATAATAACCTGTTGATTCAGATAATAGTGCTTAACATATAATACCAAATAACCCTATATACCATAATGATTATGTATAAAATCCCAGAAATGCAAAATAAAGTGCTATTTTCTCACCAAAATAATCTCGAAGATGTTGAACTGGAATATACCATGGACATTTAAAATTGATTCTTAAATCTTATTTAACGCTTTAAAAGTCAAAATCTGTAGATTCAGCATAAGATTATAAATTCTTATAAAAATCTAATAAACATTTTCTACTACCATCAAATGTCTTCTCCATAATAAACTCCTATTCAATTAATTTCTTCATAAATTTATCTTTTTTCTCTTCTCCAAATAATGCATATGTATCATGTATTGGGAAATATCCAACTGCAATTAGAGATTATAACAATTTAGACATATTAACTTACTTTAGAATAATAGCATGTGTAATTTTAATTTTTTCCATATTATTAAATTCTGACCTATCTTTTAATTCATTTATTTCATACTTTCTCCACATTTATTTACCAAAATCATTTTATAATTAAAAATATTAAGTATATGGTGCTGCTGGTTCCATACCAAGCATATCCCATATATTTCTTAATATTTTTTTTTGATCTAATAAATCTGACCAACAGTTCTTATGGTTTGAATACCAAATCTCATTAGCTTTTCTTAATGCTTTTCCAAAAACTAATCTATATAAAAATGGTAAATTATCTCTAAATTAAAAATGACCCTCTTAAAGTGCTTCCTAATATTTTAATTGCAATAAATATAATAAATGAGATAACAAATCCAAATATATGTAATACACTTACCATTCCTCCTCAGTTATTGAATAATCAGAATTCAATTCAACTTTCTCATGCTATTAGTCTATATTTAATTGTTTTGTTACAGTCTTAAAGTATTCTTCTACCTCTTCTGCTTTATTTATTACAAAAGCTCTTAATTCAATATCATTAAGTTATTTTATTTCTTATCGGTAATTCTTTTCACAATATTCATCGATTTCTTTGAATGTTGTAAATTGTAATTTATCACTTTATTTAATCTAATCCATAGCTTCTTTCAAATCAACATAATTTTAACCCACAATTTATTTTATATAATTCTTCAAACGCAAAGGTCTAAAATTTGCATCAACAGGTTCTAAAGAAAACAAATCAGCAAAACCCATTTCTATTTGTTTTGTTACCTTCATGTTCTAGGCCTGTCTTTAAATTACTTCTTTAGTTGATTTAATCACTATATATATATGTTCACCAGTTCCAGATACAAATTAACGACAATGTAAATAACCATTTCTTGTTAATTTCTCTAATATTGTAAATCTAATCAAAGTCATCATATCTTTAGGAGATCCATTGTTTGATATCCAATCATAATCAACTCCATCTTCACACATCTTTTTTACTAAATATCCACCTTATGACCATTTTTTCTTTAATTTCTTAAATTATTTATCATCATTAATATCTACCTTCATTAACTCTTTTATTGGATCTATTAACTTTTAAGATGAATTTTATTAACCTTATTATATACCTATTTCATCTAGAAATCCTTTTTCATTTTTTAAATCTAATCCTTCATTTTTATTCATTAACTCTTCTTCTATCTATTTATGATAAATCCTCATAAAATCCAAATATTTTTCATATGAATTTCTTTCTATTTTTATTGGTTTTTCATCCTTTGATTTTATTAAAACTTAATTAGAATTATTTTGATTTTAATTTGACCTTCTCTTTTTATTTTAATCTTTTAATTTCTTTCTTTTTTTATTTTAACCCTCATTTTATTAATCAATTAAATCGTCAAGTGTTAAAAAAGTTAAAAGAAATGAATCTCTTTCTTTTTTTAATTAATTTTTTGTCACTTCCTCAGTCATTACAGTTAAAATCTCATCAAAAATAGTTGCTGCTTCATTAAATGTTACAGCCTTTTAAGTATAACCTTCATAATCAGGATTTGGAAATACTATCGCCAAATCGCCAATATTAAAATCTTCGTAAATACATTAAATTTCTTAGAATTCTGCAGGATTCAAGAATTCATTTTAATGTTTATCAACCAAATCTCCTACCTTCTCAAAAATTTTTTTTTTCTTCATGAAAGACTTTAAATCAACCTAATTTATTAAGAATCCCAATATTTCTCTTATAGATTCTTCTTTATGAATTTATAAAGCATTTTATTTGGCTCTCTTATTTTTTGATGACTCTTCCTTCATAGTATTTTCTACTTAATGAATTTTATTTATTTTAATTTCATTTTGTTAAATAATAAGAATTTTAGAATAATAAGATAATATTTAAGTTTCTTTATTAAGCTTTCTAAAAATTAAATAAGGATAAAATATAATTAATTAGATTGTCGTTAACTTATTTATTTATATTTATTAATTAAGTGTTCAAATCAAAATTAATTTTTTTTTATTAACCATTCTTTCCCTGTATGATTATTAATTCAAAAATGCTCTATAAATCTAATTTTATTTTTCCAAACTGGTTTATTCTATATTTTAAGGTGACAAACCTATTGACTTCTTTCTTTATGAGTTATCTTACAAATCGAAAGATTTATTATTTGAAGGTCTAGTATTTCCAGAAGTCAACATATTATTGTTAGGTTTATTCTCAATTTTATGATTGGAACTTAGGATATTGCTATAAATAGAAATTTGAGGAATCTTCATTTATAGCTCTTTTTAGTTCATCATTTAATCCTATATTTTTTTTTTTAAGCTATATCCATGTTTTGAATACTCTTGTAAATAATAATCGTCTTCCTTATCGCTTAAGTCTTATTCTAAAATGAATTTTTTCGGATCAAAATGCTATTATAAATCATCCAAATCATCCCAATTTATTCCACTTCCCTCCTTATCAACAGTTTCATTCAATTTGTTCTTCTTTTTACATCTTGTTGTTAAATTTACCTTAGGAAATTATAATTCAAGAGACTTTCTCTCTTTTTTTACACTTTCAACTCTTAGTTTAGGTTTGGGAGGCAAGTAAATTTTTCTTTCATATAATTTTTCTTATGTTAGTACTTCATTTTATTCTTTAGAATTAAATGGCTTACCTATAATTTACATTTTCTTTCTGTACTCTTTGGGATTATTTAAACTTAAATATTCATAAAAGAGTTCATTCTAATTTGGAAAGATTAATTAAGCAAGTTTAATTATAACAATTTAAAAATTCTCATTTGAAAGCTCCATTTGAGGATTTGCATTTTTTTTATATACTTCCACTAAATTAAATTTGGTTACTATGAAATTTTTTTTATGATTGAATTTAAACTGATTTTTCTTCTTCTTAAAAGTAAGCTCATCCATTTTACCACCTAATTTTAAAATAAGTTCTTAAGTGATTTCTAAGTCAATCAGTTAGAAATCTTTGCAAAAAAACATGAACTTTTATAATATCATTATGCTTGATAATTGTTGTAACTTATCGAAGGTATTGTATTTATTTGTTGTAATTGCTTATTTAGAGTAAAATAAGTATATTTCTTTTAAGTTTTCTATCATTGATTTATCAAGCTTTTTGATTTAGTTTAACTCTTAAGGAACTTCTTCCTTTTCCACTTATTATAATATTTTTTTATCATGTAAATTCTAGATTGTATTGGCAATTTAAGTATTTTTTAGGATAATTTATTTGTGTTTTTGAATTTAATGTTGAATAGTGTTTGTATTTTTGACGACAAGTAATTGAGGCTATTATGTTTGATTTTCAGTTTAAATTTCATCTAGGTTTTAATAAGAACTAGTTTGTTGATCATTGATTTCAGTTAAAACTTGTTTTACATCAAGTTCTAGCTCATTTTCTTTAGCATCATCCTGTGTTAAATCAACTTAGCTGCTCATAGGATTGATTACATTATCTGAATCCTATTGGTGATCATTATTTTTATGATTGTGAATATCAAGTAAATTTGCTTTACTACTTTATCTGCTTGAATGTTTATGGGAATTAGGTTGTATTGGAGTTAAACGTAAAGGTGATTAATTTGGATTATTTAATTTTTATGGAGAAGTAAGACGATTAATTATCATTGATTCCTCAATAATGTTAGTCATTATTAATATTTTTTTGTTCGTTAAAATATATGAAGTCATTCCATAAGGAATCTGAATATTTGGAAGAGAAATATAAATAATTAGTTAAGATTATATGGAATATATTAGATAACTTAATATATTTAGTTTGGGATAAGTAAATTCTAGATTAAAATTCTTTGAAAAATATTCTAAAACTCTACAATCTAGTTTGATATATGCTAGCTTTGCATTATAATTCAATATAAAATGGGTATTTAAAGATACATAAGATAAATGAATATCATGAATTTGCAAAAAAATATGAAATAATAGTTTAAAACTGCAAACACATTCAAAGCAAATTTTGAGATCAAGTCTTACATGATGAATCAAAATATTGATTGTCAGCTTAAAATTTAAATTGTTCTTGATCTCTAGTTCAATTTGAATTCAATTCAGATTAAATAAAGCCTTATTTTTACTTAAAAATTCTCATTTGTAAATTAAAAGCAATTAATAAAATAGCAAGAATTGGTTCCACTAAAAAAGACTAGATATTCATTGAAAGATGAGTTGAAAATACTTTAATAAGTATATTAAACAAAAAAATACTTGATGATTTTTACATTTTGATGATATTGGACAAGCAGAAAAAGTAAATATATATTTAAAATCTGGAATTCAAACAATTAGTTAAATAGATTAAATATTATTGCAAACATAATAATTCTTTAAAAAATGTTAATAAAATTAAGGATTGGATGAAACAATAGAAAAATATAAAGCTATTTCTTTTAAATAGAGGTAAGAAGGAGTATTTAGAAAGCATCTAAGAGGAAGAGATTACAAAAAAATAACCATAATTTGGGTAATCTAATTATGATTAGAAAATTAATTTGAAGTCAGAATACCTTAATAAAACAGAAAATTATTAAAACTAGATTTAAATATCATTCATCAATTATACCCTTTTATGAATTGCTTAAAAATAATTAAAATGGAAATGGATTTAAATTATTAAATAGAAAAACATAAAGATGACACTAAATTTGCAGATGCTGATTTTGGTTTTGAGGGTGAAAATGAAATGATGACTACATAATTACCACCAAGGAAAATAGCTCAACAATAAATTAAGTGGTCACTATATTTAGACTTTTTCACAAATTTATGTATTGATTACTCAAAGGTGCACAAAGAGAGTAATTTTTTTGCCTTTACAAATATATTACAATTACTTTTTAGTATTATGATAACTAATTAAGTATTTACTTGAGCTAAAACAATAGACATGTAGTTTTTTGATCAAGCCGTACATTAAGATATAGAATGCATAATGATGTGGATCAAAAAGGATTTTATAATATCTATGGAATATAAATAAGCTTTTCATTTGAAAGAAGATATGTATTGTTTTATTAATAGATTCATAGCTACAATCTGTGATTATAATTATTTTATAAATTATGATGGTCCTCTCATTGTTGAAATAATAAGTTCATAATACTAAAATTTAAGCAGAATAATGAATGTAGTATTGGAATAAAATAAAATCATAAATTTTCATGTTTTACGCATAGTGTTTGTTTTTCTCAAAATTTCTTAACTATTTTCATATTATTTATCAATGAATTCTAAATCTAAACATTTTTTACTCGGTTGTCTTTTACTATTTTAATCACTAAAACTTTTAGCTCTCTAATAAAATTTAAATAAATATCGATACTGAACTAAGATATTCATATTTAATCGGATTTTATTTATTATTGGAATTATTGATAAATTGAATATTCTAAGGAATGTTATTTTAATACAGTGACTTAGAGCCTGATCTGGTATTATCTGCAAAATAATTTTAGGGTTTAATATTGTTATTTGGTGTTTTTGAAATAGATGATTGTAAGGGGATTTAAAATTCAAATCCTGAAATGGAATTTTTATTTTAACAGGATTGAACTATATTTTAAGATCCTCCAACACTAAGAAGAACCTCTAAAATAAAATAAGAGAATACATTTAGTAGCTTACTAACTATTCAAAAAGTTAGAGGGTTCTTCAACAACAGTTGATAGTCTTTGTTCTTTAATTTTAATTTTTTTCATTTCAAGTTATTTAGAAATTTTCATATTTTCTTTAGATTCTTACATTTACAACTATTTTGATGAAAGAGTGCATGGCTAAGCGAATTGCTTTCTTTCAGTGTTATTTTTTGTGCTTTGAGAAAGTGTGTAACCTTCCATATGAATAGAAGCTTTAACAGCCTACTAACCATTTTTGTTGAAATTCTTAAACACTTCTGCAGATTATTCTGTGACTTAATTTTCTGGCTCATAATATTAATGCATTTCTCTATTAATGCTTTCGTAAGCACTATCAAAAGGAGTTCCTTAATAATTAAGTATGGATATCTAAAATATGAATCATTTAACCTTTTTAGGATTATTTAGTTCATTTTGAAGGTTTTCATTGTTGTATATCTCTGTATCTTCTGATTTTCTGATAAAGAAATCATCTGGCTCAGTTTTATGTCCCATTCTTCGAATTGGAGAAATGGGCATTTATTGAGGTTTTTTGTTTGGCTTGGAGAAGTATTACAATATCTGTTGAATGAGAATAGTCTATGTAACATTAGTAAGATGATACATTTTGATTTTATTGTTTAGAATTCTAGACTTGTAATTCCATGATTTATGTAAACACTTAAGTCCAACTTTTAAGTGTTTTCTTGATAGATTTGATATCATTAACTAATTGATCTCTTACAAAGACTCCTTGTTCTTCCATCATAGTTGTTATAATTAAATATATAAATATCGTTAATGAAGAATTATGCATCACCCCAGCTATATACAAGTGGAAGAGGAAGCATGCAAGACACTCCATATTATATGGAGTTGAAACCTAAAAAAAGTAATTCCAAAATAGCTAAAACTGAAAGAATAACCGCCAAAAACCCTAAACAAGACTTATTGGAATACTTCAAAAAAGAACGAAATACTCTCACCTAAGTAACAAATACAATTAAGACTTAACTTCAATAAAATCGATCAATTGACAATTTAAATAGTGAGAAGAGTGAGCGACTCAAAACTCTAAATACTCAATTTCATCAATTTCCTTTGTCTCTTGATTAAAGGATTCATACTGAAGATGGAAATAACTTAAAAAGATAAATTCTTAAAGGAAAGAATCTGTCCCTTGCCACAATTTAGATGGAATCAAAGTAGTAGAAGATAGCTAATAAATAAAACAAAGTTAATCAAACACCTTAAAACACTTACAAGATGCCAAAATCTACAGTAAATCAATACTTCCAAGATATATAGATAAAAAGTGCAAAACAATATAAAAATAATCATTATCTGGATTATCAGCAATATTTCAATGTAAAGCCAAACAAAAATTCATTATTGCAAGAATCTTAAACATTAAAATAATCTATTGAATATATTTTGACTAAAAATAAGAGTGATGCTAAAAAGGTTATCAAGAGAGTTGACTCAACTGAACTGCGTTCAATCAATCAATCTACTCAATAAAGAAGTGATTCTATCAAAAAAATTAACAGGGCAGAAGAATCAAATCATTATGATTAAAGAAAGTAACTAAAAATTATTTTATTTTACAAGAGCTAAAAGTAATGTATATTTGATATTATTATTTAGATACAATTATTTATTCGACTATCAAAACTAAACAACTGATAATTTGTATAATTTTTTGATCAAATAGATAGCTTGTATTGAGAAATCTTTTGTAAAATAAGGAGGAGGAACAGGATCAACTGAGGAAGATTAAATATAATTAGGTATTTTATATAATATTAGAATTAGAAATCAATAAAATATGTCAATTTTATTGTATATAAAAGAATATACCTTATGATTATTATCTAAGCCTTCCAAATTTACCATTAGGGGTATTTTAAGGAATTACATTATAATTATAACCATTATTTTCATAGACTGCTTCAGGTAAGAGAGTTACATTGAAAGATTTCACACTTGTCAAATGCATTGGAGTAGGTGGGTTTTCAAGGGTTTATTTAGTAAGAAAAAGAGATAATGGAAATTTTTATGCTTTAAAATTGATTGATAAGAATTTCATAATGGAAAATTAAAAGGAAATCATAGTTCAAAATGAAAGAGACATAATGGTAAAAATGGACAATTAATACATTACTCCTTTACATTTTGCTTTTGAAACAAAATATTATATTGCTTTTGTTCTTGATTATTGTGCAGGAGGGGAATTGTTTTATCATTTGAGAAAACTTAAAAGATTAAATGAGTAAGATGCTAAATATTACTTTGTTGAAATTTGTATAGGAATGGCATATCTACATTCCTAAAATATAATATATCGAGATATCAAACCAGAGAATATTTTATTGGATTTACATGGACATTTATTGCTCAGTGATTTTGGACTTAGTAAACCTAATATGTCCTAAGATGATTTTGCTTATTCTTTTTGTGGATCACCTGAATATATGGCACCAGAGATGTTACTCAAAACTGGTCACAATTATTTAGTTGATTGTTATTGTTTAGGGGCATTGTTATATGAATTAGTTACAGGATTGCCACCATTCTATTCTCATAATACTTAAGAAATCTATAATTCAATCTTGACTGAATAGGTTCTATTTCCACCTTATGTCTAAATATCTGATTAGTTAAAAGACTTGATTTATTAATTATTAGAAAAGGAACCTTCATAAAGGATTGGCTAGACTTAAGGAGTAATTGAAATCTTAACTCATCCATGGTTTGCTGAAGTTGATTTTGAAGCAATAGTAAATTAAAAAATCAAGACTCCCTATAAACCAGAACCTTTGAAATATAATTTTGATGAAGAAGAGTTTAATAAAGGAGATGCTGAATTTAGAAAATAATACAATATCAATTTATAAAAAGAATATGTAAAATTTATATATTTATTTAGAATAATGATGATTTTGGTAATCTCATTCTTCAAAATTTTTATTTTTCTAGAGAAGATCTTCCATAAAAGCCAGAGCACAAATCAAAAAGATCAAATGTTATCGATCTCAAGCATCTTAACTTAGAAGATTTACCTCAAGATTTGGATTCCCCAGAAAGAGTTGGGGTAATTAAATCATTATAATAATATCTTTTAGGCTTTTAATACAGATTTAAGAAGAGTTTAAAAATATTAAGGAAAATCAGAAATTCATGATTTCTTAAAAAAAAATGATCAAAATAATAAATCATCTTCACTCATTTAATCTTCTAAAATAAGTCATGCCTATTCTAAAACGATGCAACAATAAAATTCACATCCTGATTTAAGAGTATTCTTTATAGCTAATTTAGAATCTTAAATTTATGATTGATTATAGCAAGATGCAACTTAGCTCTGAAAGAACTGCAACCTTGCCTCAAAATCAAAGTTCTAAATTCTAAAATAACAGGATAAAAACTGAACAAATCTCTTAGATGTTATATCCTAAGACAACTACAAATTATTAGTTTAATAAACAAACCAATCTACAAAAATTATTTGGATCTGATAAAAGAAAAAAATGAATTAATTTTCTATTTATTTTTAAATTAATTTTAAAATAAACTTAATTAATTAATGAATTATTTCTTGTTTAGAATTATAAGAGAAATATATTCATATAGATTTTGTAAATTGAAGAAATAGGTTTTGAAACAATCCAAAATAATTTGAATATTTTTTTTTGAAATGTTCAATGTGTTCTATTCTATAAACTTTATACAACAATGATATTTCTCTCATTTAAGTAATTAAGATTAGATTTTTAAATAGGAAACTCTTAAATAAAATCAAAAGGTTCAAATTAAATAAATTCTTTAATCGAAATACTAATAAGTAATTGAAAAGTAATATCAATTTAGATTTTAGATAAGTGTATCTTTATAAGTAGATTTTGATTTATTTTTTTATCTTTGTTAATTGCTCAATTTTAAAAATATATTTTAATACAAATTTTATAAAATTATCAATATTATATAATTTAAAAAACTAGAAATTATTTCTTTATTGGAAGAATAAAATGATTTGTTAAGATTGTTTTTGGATGTTATAATTTAATTATAATAGTCCAATCTAATCTTTTGAACTATTAATCAGTGTTTCTTATCCCTAATAGTATTTACATGATTATTTCTCTAAATGTAGAAGCCATTTTAATGCTAAAATTAATAATGAGAATACATTAGCGAATTTTTCATTATGATTAATCTCTTTGAGAATCGGAATATACGACTTCTTACTAAAAATCAATTATCCTTGAATTTTATAGAATTACTTTAAGTTTCATAAATTCTAAATATACGCATAGCTAAATTTAGTACCTTCATCAGTGAGTTCTTAAGTCTTAGTGGATTAACCAGGGTTCATGTGATTTAAAGTCTGAAAATCTAAAAATTTAATTAATTGATCACAATATGTAACAACTCATTTATATAAATTGCAATTCAAAATATTTCAGAAATAAATGATACTTAAATTAATATTATTATCAGAATTATTTACTTTAATGGGTTGTGCTTAAGTTGTGAATCATTCTTAAGAAGTTTACTAACCATCTCAATTAGAAAGAAAGCAGTCAAAAAAGACAACTATGGAATTAACTAAAAATGATTATGATTCTCCAATAATTTTTCCACTCACAATGCCTTTAGGATTTGGAAAATATAGGAAATCATAGAGAAATTCAACTGGAATGAAACTTAAAAACACAATGAATGTAGAAATTTCTCTAGACAGTAGTAAAAATACAATACTTAAAAGGAGAACGACTCTGAATCATTATTCCTGATTTTTGAATATAACCTTCTTTAATAATCTAAACCTTCAATTCTAATACGATTATAAAATATAATTAATTTAAAAGATCTTACAAAACTGTTTTCTTTGATGATATCAGTGCTCAATTTTCAGTGGAAATGATTACTAGATTTAATAACATTCAGAATGTAAAATTTATTTTTTTGATAGGATTTAATATAAATACATATTATGAAGAGAATGGCTTAAAAATTTAGGTAGTATGAATTTTTAGGAATAGAATAAGAATTAATAGAGGAATGTTAATGTATATTTAATTATTATTATTATATTTCTTAAATGTAATTTACGAATTTGGAAGAGTACTTATCGACTAGAATGTAGGAGATGTCTAAGTTTTATAGTTAGTTAAATATTCCAATATGTAATAAATATGTATATAAGTAGTTGATGATATAAAGTTTAATGTTAAAGTTAAGGAAGAAAAAAATGAGAATAGAAGTTAGAAATTATAAGAATACAAATAAGAAGCTTCATAGAATTCTTTCATGAACGAATTTATTGAGGAAGCTTAAAATCAATAAAATCAATACACAGATATCTTTGATGAAATACCAATAAAAGGGGCATAGAAACCATTTGAATAATTATTGTAAGATTAAGGTATAGTAGAACATGAGAAAAAGGATAAGAAAGAATTCCTAAAGAAGGGAACAAGATAATTTCTATCTAATGCATAAACAAGATCTGAATTATCAAAGAGAGAACATCAAGAGATATTAAAATTGAATAATGAAAATTTAGCAGAATAATAATAATAATAATAATAATAGCCAAAAAAAATGCCAGTTAATTTTTTATAGAAGGGTAAGGGTAAATAATGTACTTAAAAAGTAAATGATTCACTATTAGATCATACAAAAAATGATGAAAGCATAATATAATAATAAAATGACGATAAAAATGAATTAAAGAAAGAGAGATAGTTATTGGAATAGTAATAGAAAGAATTATAGAAGTTAAAAATTTAGTAATAAAAGTAATTAGAATAGGAGAAATAGGAGTTTGAAAAATGGAAAGAAGAAGAGAAAAAAAAGATTGAAAGAATAACAAAAAAGCATTATACAATTTAATAACAAAGACAATAATAATTAACAACAAAATAATTAGAAGAGTTAGATTATTTGAGAAAAAAAGTAGCTTAATAAAATGAAGAGATAAAGGAATTGAAGTTTCAATTAGAAAAATAATAATTATAATAGATGAGTAGTGTGTAAAATACTAGTACTCATAATATAAATAAATTAATAGCTTAATCATCACCATAGAGTAATTATTCAACTAAGGCATCAAATGCTTCAGAAAATAAAGGAAATTCATATGCAATAATGCATAATAAATAGGGATGTATTAATGAAGAAGAGGAGTTTGATTCTTAAAATGGAGAAGATTAGAATAGTTATTAAAATGGGGATAGTTATGAATAAGAGAAAATAAAAATTGATATAACTCAATTGAAAAATGAACCAAAGATTTCAATAGATATGATTAATGATCAAATAGATGAATCAGAATTTGAGTTTCAAAATAATAAATATTATAAAGAATATTTAGATTATTTGAAATAAGATGATAAAGTAATTTAGTAAACTTAATCTGCTGATGGAAAGATTTCAAGAACATATTAAAGTGGAAAAAAAGAAGCAGTTTTCAATAATGGTGTAAAACGAGAAATATTTTCAAATGGTTTTACTATTGTTCATTTTACAAATAAGGATAAAAAATAAACATTACCAGATGGAAAAATAATTTATTATTTTGGTCAAGCTAAGACTACATAAATAACAATTTAAAATGGACCTTAAGTATTAATGAATTATCATATAGATTTATCGATTTTCAAATAATTAAATAGAAATTCATTTTTAAAATGGAGAAAAATAAATAAGATTTTCTGATGGTACCAAAAAATATATTTATCCAAATGGAGAAGAAGAGACCTTATTTAGTGATGGAATATTTTAAAAAGTTGATGTAAACAAAGTTAAATATATTGAATATCCTGATGGGAAGATTGAGACAACTTATCCAGATGGTAAAGTAGAAAATTTATCTCCTAAAAAATAATATAATTGAATTTATTATATCTGTTAACTAAAAAGATTAATTATTATTAAAAAAATTGAAGATTAGAACAAATGAAAAAAGTTTAGGTCAAAAGGAAATTTGAAAGTATTCATTAAAATTTTGACAATTAGGTTTCGGTTTTTGTTCTTCAAATCCTTATGACCCTCGTGCTTAAAAAGAATTAGTACTACATATCTCAAATCAAATTTAAAAGGGAAATGATTTTACAATTAAAATGTATAGTTGGATGAAAATTTCAATATTAAAAATAAAGATTCATAAAACAACTAAATTTGACTTAGCTGACTTTAGAATTCTTTATAAAAATCAAGAACTCTCTCTTAATAATTAAGATCTAGAAGTAAAAAAAATAAATTAATAAATTGAAAGGAATATGGAATTAAAAATCATGTCACTCTTAAATTAATGGCTCGAAAATAGGGATAATAATTATATTTTATCAACAGTATTCATAATATTTTGGAAGAATCAAAGAAAATTTAAGAATACTTTTAAAATGCTAAATGGGCAGTTGAAGGAGCATTTATGAAAGGAATTACACCGAAATTAACTGCTTTTGGTACTCAGGGTACATATATTTTGGAAGATTAAAATCATAAACCAGTAGCTATATTTAAACCTTATGATGAAGAAGCTCTTGCGTAATTTTTGAAATTAATTAATAGTCCAAATAATCCAAGAGGTACGAGAGCCAAAATGAATTCTCCAGGATTAAGATAAGGTATTTTATCAGGAGAAGGAGTTGATAGAGAAGTAGCAGCATATTTGATAGATCAATCATCATAACATTATCATAATGGTAATATTATAAATGAATATTTAGTTCCTCTTACTAATTATGTCTAAATTTGTCATACTGCATTTCATGAGTCTGAAGAATATAAACAATTTTAGTATGAGAAAATTCCAATTAAAGAAGGATCCTTTTAATTGTATATTAAACACGATGATAATGTTGGAAATTTCGGTAGTGGATTATTTCCTTCTCTTGAAGCTAGAAAAATAGCCATTTTAGATATTAGAATATTAAATTGTGATAGAAATGAAGAAAACATTTTGGTTAGAAAAAAGTAAATAATTAATGTCATATCTTTTTAGAAAAATAAATTAACCTACAGGATAAACCAGATAAGCGTATGATTACTTTCTCATACCTATTGATCATGGTTATGCATTCCCAGATTGTTTCAAAATATGTAGAGATGAAGTTGTTTGGTATCATTGGGGATAAATGGCTTAACCATTTACATAAGAAGAAAAATAATTTATTGAAAAGATAGATCCAATTAAAGATATTGAAATTTTGAGAGAAAAAGTTAAATTGAGAGAAATTTGTTTAAGAAATGTTAGAATTTCTACAACTTTATTAAAATTAGGAGCACAAGCAGACCTGACAATCCATGATATTACGTAATTAACAATTATATCTTAAGTGAAATTTTATATAGAGAAGATCCAGATGAATTATCACCTATTGAAATAGCTATTAGTAAAGCTGAATATAATTATGAGTATGTTTATATATTTAATAAGTAGTAATAATATCAGAGTGCCAAAAGAATATTTAAATTTTAAAGAAAAAATATTTAAAAATAATTTAATATAAAAATCTTTAGAATTTGATTAATCTAGTTTATAAATTTAAGAAAGAACTAAATAAGGATAACCTTTAATAAAATTGTAAATAATTGATGAAAATGAGAATAAAAACTTGAAAAATGATTCAATAATGAAAGATAAGGAAAGGTAACAAACTTCTGACAAGAAATTAGCTCGAGTTGGATCTTAATAAGAAATAAAAAAATGTTGTAAACCAATGGAAAAGGTATGGAATGAAGATTTCTATTCACACATTGCTTATTTCCTTCAACAAATAATAGATAATAAATTACAAGAAAAGTGTCAATCTCCTCGGAAATACAGACCTAGATACATAAGTGAAGAAGTGAAATGAATAAAAAAGCATAATCTTAAATAATAATTTTAGGAAAACTTTTTATATTATATAATATTTAATGTTTCAAAATTGTTGATATTATGGAAGTTCAATAATCCACGATACCATTTTCTTCATATTGACATTTACTCTTCTTTTTAGAAGTAGTAAGCAATTAGAAAGAATTGACACTATAAAAATATATAATGAAATAATTCACCTATTACTTATTTATTAGTCATGATCACTAATGTAGTTTTATTCTATCATTTCATCATTTAATGTTTTAAGTTATTGTTCTCTCTAAAAGTCTATTAAGTCTTTGTGCAACTAATTCTTCTTGGATTATTTGGTAGGATATGAGACATCATCACTTTCAGAAGATTCAGTAGTAATGCTCTTATACTATTTATTCATTAAGATAATCTCTAGAGCTTTTTTCTGCAATGGATCAAATTCATTCAAAATAAAGATTCTTATTTAAGGTTCTTATGATACCCATCTCTTTAAAATTTCTACTTAATTTAACCCAACTTCATTTAAAATTCTGTCATTCTCTTTTTCATGCCACTATTCCAATGGTTCTTGATTGAATTATCTGTTCTCCCTTTTACATGTTTGGCTATTTCTGCCCATTTATTACCTGCATCTATCATATGGATTCATACTTAAAGCTTTGTGATATAAGAATAAAATCCATTCTTCATCTTCTTCCCAAGGAGTTTTCTTAATCGAAGGATTTAAATGATTATGCCATCTATAAATAATCTTTAATTTATAACCTTTCTCTACATTATTTACCTATTCTGCCTTCTAAATATTAAGCAATTTGAGTCCATTTTTAAGGACCAAATTCTTAAACTAATTCAAGTACTCTTAAATCCTCTTCATCAGTCCAAGGTCCTATAAGAACATTAGAGATTTAAAATTACTCTTGCGGATAACCTTGTGTATATTTTATTTATTTTATTTCATTTATTTTAAATTAATCAAAAGATCATTCATTATAAAATTTATTTAATATTATCATTTTAGCTTTGTTTATTTGAATATTATATAATATTCCTAATATTAAGTTGTTAATATTTTAATTATATTTATATAAGATAATTAAATGAGTGAGGATATATTGAGTAGAAGTAATATGGGTGAATTTGGAGAAGTATATATCAAATTAAATTTGTAATTTAGGACTTTGATTAACAACTTTATGAAAGATGTGAACAATTTTGTTAAAAATTAAGACGCACCAATTAATAGCTCTATAAGTTCGAATTAATATCAATTTTAGACAATTTTCAAATATTGTTAATTAAAATAGTAAAGTAGCTAAAGAGTAATTGGGATAAATGTTAAGTGAAGAACCGGAGCTCTTAAAGGAAGTAAATGTTTTACTGGATGATGATGTAAAATTCAAGACTCAGAAAGAAAGATTGACAGAGTTTATCAACAATGAAAATAACAAATCTAAAGCTTTAGACACAATATTAAAATAGATATAAAATGGACATTTAGATGGACATCAAAACAAAGATCATATTTTAGATTTATTTAGCAATGAGCCATAATTACAATAGTAGTTCTTATAAAGTTTTAAAAAGAAGCATGATCAAATTGCACCAAAAAAAAAAATTGAAGAAAATAGAAATTACTTTTAAAAATTACTGGATAAAAATGGAGTTGTAGATATGGTAAATTTTACATATTTTTATATATTAGAATGAATTACTATTTTGGGATAAATTTAGAATGAGGATCATTTAATAATTCCCTAATGATTATTAATAATTCATGAATGAATTTATGAAAATAATCCATTTATATTCTGAATGTATAATAACATAAATGGAAGTGATGGAATTAATAAATTAATAAGAATGGTTAGAAACTGAATATATTGATGATATAAGATCAATGTTATCAACTAGAGTAATTGCTAGAAGAATATAGACACCTCTTTTTAAACCACTTAAAGATACAGATTTTGCTTAAGTAGATAGAGTTACAAGATCTTATGTTAGAATGCCTATTGGATATGCTAAAGCTAATAATAATTCAGAAATTCTAAATCATTCTTGGGTATCAGTACCTTTTGGTTCTGAAGATTAATCTTTCTTAATTATGAGAAAAAATACTTTTGAAGAATAACTATTTAAAAGTGAAGATGAAAGATTTGAATTTGATGTCAATATTTAATAAATTAAAAGAACCATTAATTTATTATAAGAAATAATTGATGGAAATAAAGAAGATCCTACATTAATTACTAAAGTTATTGATATGAGAATATTACAATAATTATATAGAAATTAAACTTAAGATTAAAATGAAATCCTATAAATATTTTAAACTAAACCTACTGAAAGTGCTAAAATTCTAATTAAAAGAGTTAAATAAAAATTAAATGAACTTATATCAGCCAGAAATAATAAAGCTAAATAAATTTGGGAAAATGTATCATTAAATAATTTCCATCGTTCTCTTGATCATAGATCTTTTTACTTTAAAAAAAACGATAAATTAGTCATCAATGGATAAAGATTTGTTAGAGAAATAGAAGAATATGCAAAAAATGTATTAATCAAGCATCTTGGAACAAAAGAACATGTATTTGTTAAAAGAAAATAAGATTAAATATAATACACATTTGAAAATTCTTTTTTAAATTCACTTGCCCAAATGACTAATATAAAACCAACTTTACCTAAATAAATACAATTGATTCCTTTAACTTAAGAAAATGTACGTTTTTAACCATTAATATCAATATGGATGGGAAATGAATAAATTTTATAAGAATGTGGTTAATTTGTAATTCATTATCTTTAAATAATGGGAGGTAATAATTCTCTAGATAAAAGAAATGGAACATTCTTAATGATCAAATTAATTAATCATTTCTTTTAGATTCCAATGAAACCTATGTAAATATCTTAATTAACATTGATTGATACAAAATTAAAAAATGAAATATAAGAACTTGAAATTTATGATATTCATTATAATCCAGAAGAGGCTTCTACATCTATTCCAGAAATCGAAAATGAATAACCAGGTTTATTTGTGAATTTATAACCAAGAGTTAAATCAACAACATATGTTACATAAAATCTATATATTCTATTGAGATTCTTACATACTATTTATTAAAGATTAGAAATGGCTTATGTGATTAGTCAATAAAATAAACTTGGATAGGATAAGAGATATAACTTATTTAAATCTGCTTTGTTTCTTTCGTTAAAAGCTAAAGATTTTAAATATGAAGATCATTTAAGAAGCTTATTCGGGAAACATGTAAATTGATTCTTATTATTTTTAAGGGTTTCATATTTTCAACTTTAGAAAAAGTATTTCATGATGCTGCTAAATAATTAGCTGTTTGTGCTTCTGATGTTGTTACAATGTCATTTTTTGATAAATCAGTTTCAGTTGAAGGAGATCTTGATAAATTCTTTTCAGTTGTTTCTAGTATTGTTAATGGAGAAGGAATTAAGGTTTCTGATTTAGAAGCTTAAGTATTTTGTAGATTTCAATAATTAAAAGAAGAGGAATAATTATTAAAATTACATTAATCATTTTCTCATCATAAACCAGAAAAGAAACCAATTTATAGAGTAAATTGATGTATTAGATTTTAGATTGCATGTTGGCATAAGGCTTGTTTCATTTCAATATTACCAGCTTATGGAGGATGCAATTAAGAAATATGTAAATCTTGTAAATAACCTTTCTTAATGAGAAACATGAAAAGAGGTGAAAGAAGAATGATGATTACTAATAGTATTGAATGGAGTGTTGATGAATCTAGCCATTTCAAACCTATCATTAATTAGGGAGAAGATTATTTAAAATGTGTATGATTGTAATAAAAAACAATAATTATTTTAATTGTGCAAAATTTAAGAAGAATTTATTTATCTATCTTAAACTATTTTTAGATAAATTATTGTATTTATAAAAAATCTTAAAAAAGCATTTATAAAAATACTTGATTTTCTTACCATATAAATTCTTTATTTTTTTATATTATTTCTACAATTAAATTCTAAGGTAATATTATAATGAGTTCTTAGAGATATTGCATGAAAATTAAGGTTTATAATTAAAATGTAACTGAATTAATTGGATTGATTGTAGAAATGACGTATTATGATAAATTTTTAGTCAAAAATATCATAAATTTATTAACACGGCTGAATATTGAATGATATCGTAATGAAATATGAATTTAAATAGGTTCTAGAATAATGGTTAAAAAACAATAATTAATATAAATTGTATTTACCCAACATTTACAATGGAAGTTAATATGAAAGAATTAAATGAAGGTCCAGCTATTGTAATAGATGGTTAAACAAATATGGATTTGGATTCAGAAAATAGAGAATTATAATAAGAGGAAATAAAGAACCCTACATAATTTCCTGTAAAACCTAGAAAATATATTTTAACAAATGATGATAAAATAACATTAAAATTTGCAAAGGTTCTAATCCTATGCAATCTAATTGGATTTGTTTTTTTATTTATTGGAAGTGCTATAATCTATATAACACTAAAATCTAATTGGCATGATGATATGATAGTGTCCTTTTAATTGTTCATATTCTCAGATGTTCTTTTGATAGGAGAGAAAATTTTGTTTTTCACAACTTTGATTAACAAGAAGAAAATGGTTAAATTGTGTCCAATTTTAAATATCTTCTCATTATTGCTAAAGATAGTGTCTAGTGGATTAATTGTGTAAGATATTTTATTCAAAATATATAGTCATGTTCTTCCTTGTGCACTTATAGTTAGTCTCGTTTTAGTATTTCTTTAAATCCCTCATAACGTCATGATAAAAGTAATTACCAAAAGATGGAGAAAAATTCCTGATAGGAAATGGAAAAAACAATTAATTTTAGTTAGAAAACCAATCCCTTAGAATTGACAGCTGTTAATGATATATATTTATTTTTTTGTTTGTTTATATATTCTTATAATGTTATAATATATTCTCCTGTGTTTAATGAAATATACATAAACAATAAAATCATAACAAAAAAAGGATTATCATCATCAATAATACTAATTTTATTATATCTCTATTTTAAATATAAAACAAAAAGATTAGTTGTTGTTCTACCTGTTTCTTGAATGATTTCTTATTTTCAATCTTTATATTTCTAGTTTATTTGTATCTATAAAATTGACTTATTTAGAATTTGTAAAACTTAAATCTCCTTAAAATTCTCAATTTTCTAAGATCATTATTAAAACATATATTAAGGAATTAAAAAGACATTAATCAATAAAAATTAATATTATTATGATCGATTATATAAAGGAAACAGACGATATACTCATAACTAAATAAGGATTTATGAGTTCATTTCAATAGAATAGTGAATCAAGTCCAAAAATCTTATTGGGTAGTCATAAGTAATTACGTTTTCCAACGATTTCTAATTCATTATTGAAATCAGCCATAGAGGCTAATTACTTGGAAGCAGATTAAAAAAATAATATCATTAGGAATCCTAATTAATTAACTGTTTTTAGAATGCATTTTGATACAAATTCACCAAGAACTCAAACAGCTATGGAAATGTTAAATTTACATGTATAGGATCTTTAAGTTAAAGATTATGAAGAATTCTATCAAAAACGTAAAGATCCATTGTAGAACCTTATATCATATTTATAATATGTAACTAGTAAATACAAAATATTGAATGACATCTTAAAAAAAAGAAATTAAATAAAACATATACAATCCTCGGTAAGTAAATAAATCAATTCAAAAAATATTAAATTTAAGGATGAATCTATGTCTCTCGAATAAAATGATGTTAAAAAATAATCTTGTGATGATCTTCATTCAACTATTTTAAGTGCAACTTAAAAGAAAGAATTATTTGATAGGAAATTAATTAAAGCTTCAGAAAATTATAATAAGTAAGAATGTTAATAAAATTAGATTTCTCAATTTAGTACATGATTAAATTAATAAATAAGATGAATATTATAGTAAAACAGCTCCTGAAATGTATTAAAAAGCAGAAAGAATAAAATAAAAGTAATTAGAATTAGTAAGAAAGAAATTAAGAAGGAATCATTTAAAGGTTGAGAAGGTTTGTTAAAAGGCAAAAAAAGAGGAATAAACATAATATAGAGAACATTAAAAGATGGTTTAAGAATTGGAGAAGGATCATAATTTACATTAAGAAAGAAAATAAAAATAATTACAATAAGCATAAGAAGATTTATTAGATTAATTAAGAAAGAAGGAAGAAAAGGAAAGGGAGAGATAGTTAAAAAGATAAATGTAGATGAATTTAGAATAGAGTATGATAGATTAAGTGATGGATTCTATAAAGAAGAAGGCTGATTATATGAATGAATATTTAAATAAGAAATAATAGGAAGATAAAAAAAGACATACTTAAAATGAAAAAATATTTGAAGAAAAATAAAAGAAATTATAGGAATCTTATGTTTAAAAAGAGAATTAGAATGTTTAAACTTATTATAGTAAATCAACTTAAAGATAAGTAAATTTATTTTTCATTATTTAGATTTAAATTAATAAGCATGAAATATCTTAGTTGAAATAATAGAAAAGTTTATCATTAAAAAATAGTAGAATAATGAAAAGAATTGAATAATTTTAGGAATCTTTAGATTAAAAAAGATTTGAAGAATTAAGTTCTAAAATTTAACAAACTGATGAAAAATTAGAAGGAGGCATGAAAAGGTATTATTTTTAATATTAATTAATTAGACATTAATCACTTTTGGATTTGAGGAAATATAATTTATCTTAGAAGAATGAACATAGATTTAAATTAGCCAAATAAAAATAAATGGAGAATATGTTAGAAAAAATACATAAACAGAATAAAATTTTATAAAAAAATCTCGAAATTACTTAGAAAAATGATAAAATAAAATAAGAATTAGATTTTTTAGAGAAATATAAAAAAGAATAATTATAAGATCATGTTATTTAGAGGAATATTTTGACATAAAAATTATCATCTTGATTTTTATTTTGGTTTTATATTATTTTTTTATAATTAAAAAAAATGTAATATTATATTTAGATTATAACTAGAAAATAAATTGAGAATCTAAAAATGAAAATTATAGTAATAAAATGAATGAAGATACGTAAAATTTGTTAAAAAAGATATTGGAAATGTAATTGGAATGCACATAATTGTTAACAAACATATTATTTAAAAAGAATGGAACATCTAGTGATGGAGAATAATAAAATAAGAAATTTGAATAATTAGAGGAATCTAAATTATAATTGGATGGTCCAAAAAAAAGAGGGAGAAAACCAACTAAATCAACAAATTATATAGATAGTGTAGTTTAAAGCGAAGAGGATATAAAATTACAACAATTATTTTAGATGACACCTAAAGGATTATTATCTCCAGAATAATGTTATAAATAACTTAATATGATTGTATAGAAATTCCGATAGTTGAATTCTTTAGCTAATAAATAACTTTAACTAGATATAGAATATATAAAGGCATATCATAGTAAGAATAAATTTAGATATCTAAGAGCAATAACTAAATTATTTGTTTAGAGTATAAAGAATTTAAAATAGATTTAATCAAAAGATAATTAAACTGAAATGTTTTAATGTCCTTCATGTGAATTTTTAGGAATAAGCAGTGTGTTCTTTCCTCATATTTTAAAGAAACATTGTTAAAACTACCATATATTTTGTTGTTTTTTATGTTCCAAAGATTATTAATCTCATACATTACTTCTTGGTCATTTGAAAAGATATCATAGTAATTATAAGAAGAATTAGAAATAAGAGATAAGTCAATAGCTTTAATAGATTGATGATGTTAGCATAAGTCTATGAAATTATATATATTATATATATATATTATATATAAATAATTAATAAAAAATTTAAATTGATGAATAATTAAGAATGTCCTCATGGTTGTGGTAGAAAATTTGAAGACAATTAAAAATTAGAAGATCATATAAAAAGAAGACATTTTCTTTAATAGAAAATAAATCCAAGTGTTTATGAAAACTCAAATACAATTGAGATATAAAAAAGATTAAATGTGTTAAGACCAAAATTACCATAATTATAAGGAAATCATTAGTAAACACATTAAACATCTTCAATGATATAATAATAAATATCAGAATAAGTTACTTAATAATTACCACCAAAACCAATTTCGAAATTATAATTACAATTCAAAAAAAATCCAAAACTTCGTCCAAGTTCAAGTAATAGAAAATTAGATGATGTATAAAAAATTGGTGATTAAAAAGATAAAGATTCAAATGATAATAAAGAAATATAAAAGATGGTAAAGATAATCGAACCTTCTCCAGTTATATCAGCAAAAGATTTAGTGGAAGCTAGAAAATTAATAACTAAATAATTCATATGTACTAATAGTGATGGTTCTGATTTAGAATCAGTTACACATTTAACTTTAAATGATAAAAATCTCTTGATTTTTGAAAGTACAACGGAAGTTCCATTTTAAGAACTAATGTAATCCTATATTAATTTGTTAGTGCCTTAAAGAGTCTATCATTATCATAAAACAAACTCATAAATGTTATAGGAATCAGTGTGTTACATAATATTGTTGATTTGAATATTAATAACAATAAAATAACTACACTTTAACCATTGGGAGAATGTAAAAGATTACAAAAATTGTATGCCAATTCAAATCTTATTAATACTATAGATATGGGATTAATGATTCACTTAAAGATCTTTTAAGTTGGTAATAATTAAATTACTGATTTTGAACATTTAATCAATAGTATTAAATTAATGCCAAGTTTAAAAGATCTTGTTGTTGAAAGTAATCCTTGCACTTCAAAATATGCTTATAAATATGATATATTATGGACTGTATTCTTAGATAAATTAGATAATTTAATTATTACATAATAAGATTATAATTTAGCCTAAGCATTTAAAGATAGCAAATAAGAATCTAAATTATCACAAAGTATGAATTTTTAAAAAGGAATCAGACCTTAGACAGCTTCAACTATACATAATAATAATACATTTTTATAAGATCCATAAATTGATAATTCTTAAAACAATTTAGTTTTAGAATAAATCAATTAAGAATTAGAAGAAGAAATTGAAGAATTATATGACATTAATTATAATCTAAGAGAAAAAATTGATAAACTTGAAAAATAAAATGTTGAATATAGAATTATAGCTGATAGAGTTCCATTTTTAGAAGAATAATTATAAGATATGAGATCTAAAATTAGTGCTTATGAGTCTTTAATCATATTTAAAGATTCTCCTGATGTAGAATTAAGAAAACATATTTTTGCTTTAACTTAAGAATTAGAAAAATTAAAGAACAATCAACATAATGATCATTACGAAGATGAAAATCAAAATAAATTTAATAATAATCAATCTAAATTCTAAAATACAGAAACTACATTCATTTAATAATTATCATAAGCAGAAAGTGATTCTGATAATAAAAATGATGATGATGATGATGATGATAAATATTTGTAATCTTTTTATTTATACTTTTAGCCGAGATGATGATAATATATCATAAATACCAGGATAAGAAATTATGGAGTTAATTATGAGAAATTCAATGACATTGAGCAAGCTTAAAAGTGAATTTAAAGACATCAATTGACTCTTATTTTAGATAATTAAATATATATTTATTAAATAATAATGTCAGAATATTTTAGAAAATACATTAAAAAAGAAAATTATCCGAATCATTTGTAAATTAATCTCTAATTTTTAGTACTAATATCAAATATAAAACATCTTTTAGAAATTGCATCTTAGAAGTATGATTGGATATTTAATGTAAGGCATTTAAGAGAAGAAATTGGAAAGAAAGTGATGGTGATGATTGGGATATTATGTGGGCTGAGAAAGAATAGATTAATGAAGTTATGGATCATGTTCATATGCAAGCTCATTAAAAAATTAATCATTTTCGTAATCATTATGAGGTACATCTATGAATATATATTCTATTTAGTTAACTCGTAAAGATCTAATGATAAAGAATCTTAAGAAATATAAAAGAGCATTAGAAAAAGAAGGAAAAATTGAGGAAGCTAATAGGTAATAGAAGTAATATAAAGATTTTAGTTATAATTTTTTTCCGTAGACTTACAATTTACCAAGTGAGTATCCTATCTTTAATGAAGAATTTAAAAAGTAAGGTGATAATAAAACTGCATGGATTATGAAACCAGTATATATTTAATAATATTAGATAGATAGGCAAGTCTTAAGGTAGAGGGATATTCTTATTTAATAAAATATAATAGATATCATAATGGAAGAATTAAGTTAAATTTAATCCTGAAAATCCATCAGCAGAGTCTTATATAGTATAAAGATATATTGCTGATCCTCTTTTGATTGGAGGTAAAAAGTTTGATACTCGAATATATTTGTTATGTACATCTTATTCACCTTTAACTTTATATTTATATCGTACAGGATTTGCAAGATTTACTCATCATAGATATGATAATGAAGATATTACAAATACATGTAAAATTGTATTAATATACATTAGATGTTCATTTAACAAATGTAGCTATTTAAAAAACATCAGAAAATTATGATGAAAAATTAGGAGGTAAATGGGATTTATAAAAATTAAAACTATTTCTAATGACTAAATATGGTTAAGAAAAGGTTTAAGAATGCTTTTATAATGTTTAATAGTTGATGATTAAATCTTTAATAGCAGTTCAAAAAATCATAGTTAATGATAAACATTGTTTTGAACTTTATGGATTTGATATCTTATTTGATTCTTAATTAAAGCCTTGGCTTTTAGAAGTGAATGCAAGGTATTTAATACAAGTAAATTAACAAAAGTCCTTCAATGACATCTAATACTCTCATTGATTTTGAATTAAAATGAGGATTATTAGATGATATTTTTACAATAATTGATATAGAAAAGATATTAAGTGGTAATGAAGAATAAATTGGAGGATTTGATTTAATATATAAAGGAAGTCCTATAAAAAATAATTATAGTTGTTCTTAAATATCATTTCTCGGTACTTTAAATAATCGAAAGTTATAATTAAAAAGGTTAGCAAAGACTTGTGGTATGTAATAATATAAATTAAATTAAGCATTAAAATTAGCAAATGCAAATGAATAATCTTAAATAAAAAGTTCTGAAGGTACAAAAAAAGATAAAGAGGAAAAGGAAAGATAATTAAGAAGTTTTTCAAAGAGTTCTTAGATTGCATAAGTAAGATAAGATTTAATAATAGAATATAAATAATTCAAGCAAAGTTGTAATATAATAGAAAGGAGTAATAAATATAAGGAGGAATTCAACAGATTTACCTATTTTAATGAACAAATAAAATGGAATAAGGAAAATGCAATTACAAAATACTCTTCAAAAATAGAAAGTGTAGATTTATTAATAATAATAATAAAAAGGAGGAGATTATCAATTATATAATTAGAATAAAGAGTATGAGTATTTGAGAATAGTATAGAATTTGTTAGTTAAACAATTCATCGTTTAGTCCAAATGTTAAGATGATTGAGAATAGTTCAAACAATTAAAATAATTGTATAGCAAAGGATAGTTTTCGAACGTTGCCAAAAATAATAAAAAATGAATCTTATATTTCAGACAATTGAATTAGATATTTAAATAAAAAATAATCTAAATTTTGATATAATTAAAATAAGAAGGGATTTATTCCAAATTATAATTAAGAACTAAAAATAATTTATATAAATATTTAATGTAAATATTACCACCAGCAGAAAAAGTGCTACATTTTTCAGAGACAAAGAGTTGGTTCAATTCTAGACATTAATCTAAAGTAAAGGAGAAATATAGAAAAACTGAGAAGGAATTATTTGATGATGAAATAGTTACAGAAACATTTCATTTAATTGATAGAGATCATTCAAGTATAAGAATGAAATTAATATTTAAGATACAATAGAAATGGATGAATTGTATTCAATGTTAAGAAAGAATAATTATCCTGTGAATTTAGCGCTTTTAAAGGCTTTTTTCGAAATGACTGATCGAGATGGGAATAGTATATTTAATATAATATTAATTTAAGAATGTATAGATTTAGATGAATTTAAATAAGTGATAAAAGATGAAGGAACTTCTTAAAGTAATAGTAAAGTGATTAGTTTGAATAGCATTCAGAATATTGATGAGAAAAATGAGAGAAATAGGAGAAGAGAATTATTATTCAACTGATTTTGTAAATTTATTAAGATATTTATCCTATTGTGCTAATAGAACTGATTTAATATGGCAAATAAAAGTACTTATTTATATATATTATTAAAGAATACACGTCTATCATTTGAATAAAGATCTAAATTAGTATCAGAATTATTTAAAGTGAATTAATAATTTACAAAGATATCAAACCCAAAAGAGGAATAAAGATGTACTTTGAGACCTTTTATGAGAAAGAAAGGTTAAGATGAGATCAAATATCTTACTCCAATAAATAAGAAACCTCGTATCATAACTAATATGTCTACTAAAACAAGAATAAGTNAAGTGTAGATTTATTAATAATAATAATAAAAAGGAGGAGATTATCAATTATATAATTAGAATAAAGAGTATGAGTATTTGAGAATAGTATAGAATTTGTTAGTTAAACAATTCATCGTTTAGTCCAAATGTTAAGATGATTGAGAATAGTTCAAACAATTAAAATAATTGTATAGCAAAGGATAGTTTTCGAACGTTGCCAAAAATAATAAAAAATGAATCTTATATTTCAGACAATTGAATTAGATATTTAAATAAAAAATAATCTAAATTTTGATATAATTAAAATAAGAAGGGATTTATTCCAAATTATAATTAAGAACTAAAAATAATTTATATAAATATTTAATGTAAATATTACCACCAGCAGAAAAAGTGCTACATTTTTCAGAGACAAAGAGTTGGTTCAATTCTAGACATTAATCTAAAGTAAAGGAGAAATATAGAAAAACTGAGAAGGAATTATTTGATGATGAAATAGTTACAGAAACATTTCATTTAATTGATAGAGATCATTCAAGTATAAGAATGAAATTAATATTTAAGATACAATAGAAATGGATGAATTGTATTCAATGTTAAGAAAGAATAATTATCCTGTGAATTTAGCGCTTTTAAAGGCTTTTTTCGAAATGACTGATCGAGATGGGAATAGTATATTTAATATAATATTAATTTAAGAATGTATAGATTTAGATGAATTTAAATAAGTGATAAAAGATGAAGGAACTTCTTAAAGTAATAGTAAAGTGATTAGTTTGAATAGCATTCAGAATATTGATGAGAAAAATGAGAGAAATAGGAGAAGAGAATTATTATTCAACTGATTTTGTAAATTTATTAAGATATTTATCCTATTGTGCTAATAGAACTGATTTAATATGGCAAATAAAAGTACTTATTTATATATATTATTAAAGAATACACGTCTATCATTTGAATAAAGATCTAAATTAGTATCAGAATTATTTAAAGTGAATTAATAATTTACAAAGATATCAAACCCAAAAGAGGAATAAAGATGTACTTTGAGACCTTTTATGAGAAAGAAAGGTTAAGATGAGATCAAATATCTTACTCCAATAAATAAGAAACCTCGTATCATAACTAATATGTCTACTAAAACAAGAATAAGTACTAGTAATCAGAATTCTATTTTATCTTTTGATATCAATAGTATATCATCTCCAAGATTATTTCCTTTGAAAACAGAGAGATATGTATTTAAAAAGAAAATGAGTTTAACTACAACTCCATCAACTAAATCCACTTTGTATTTAACTAAGTCCATCTAAAAGGTTAACAATAAGTTTTGATAATAATATATATTATTTCTATTAAGTTAATTTAAAGAATACAAATTTATTGTTAAAATTAATAGTTATTATATATTTATTGGATGTAACACTTTCTGACAGGTATATTCCAATCTTTCAGTATGTGTGGTCTTCGAAATAGAATAGTTCATATACTTGCTTTTCGACCTCCTTAAGCTACTTATGAACTTAGACTTAGAGAATCAAAAAAAAGATAATAAGTTAATAAAAAATAGAGATACTATTCTTTTGATGATAGTGGATATTTCAATAAATAAAACAATACAGAATAATAATTGATCTTAACTAATGATTAATAGTATCTACATAGGAAAAGAAAGACTGTTAGAAATCCTGAGTAAGTTTAGAATTTATGTGAAGATTATACCCAGAATATGATTTCATTAAAATGCCCAATAAGAAAATTCATTCAGATGAAGAAATTTTAGTAAAATCTGATATATGTAAAGTAACTTCTTATTTTCTCAATTAAAACAATAATTAATAAATAGCATCTGTACATTTAGATAGAAATAGTGATTATGTAATGCTATTTAGTCATGGAAATGCTTGTGATTTGGGTATCATGATAGATAAATTTATTAGTAAATACTTATATTTATTATTTCTATAGAACTTGTTCATTATACAAAGATAAATGTTTTTGCATATGAATATAGTGGATATGGTTAAAGTAAAGGTAAGAGTAATGATATAACCATTATTCGTAACATTCAAGTAGCATATAATTTTTTGATTCATTAATTAGGATATAAACCAACATAAATTATTGTTTATGGTTATAGTATTGGTTCAGGTCCTAGTGTTACTTTAGCATCTAATCCTTAATTTCCTATTGGTGGATTAATCATAGAAAGTGGATTCAGTTCTGGATTAAGAGTCATCAATAATAAAATTGAAGATACTCCTTATTATGATTTATTCCCAAATATTGATAGAATCTAACTTATTTAATCTCCTATTTTTATAATACATGGAGCTAATGATAAAATCATCTCAGAAGATCATGCAAAATAATTAGCATAAAAATCTAATAACTTATATGATTTATGGATTCCTTAAAATGTTGGTCATTGTGGAATTGACACAGATATTTAATATCGTAAATGTTACTTCAAAAAATTAAAAGAATTTGTAGATTGTATTATTAATAATATTAATTATTTATAGATATTACTTTTTAAAATGAAAGTATTCCTGATTTAATATAAAAAAATACTGCCAAGTCTCATGATGTTACAACCTATAAACATATTTATTAAACTAAATTATTTTGAATATATTTTTAATTAGTTATTTATTTTTTTGTATTTCATTATATAATTTTTATTATTAATTATTAAAATACTATTCAATGTAAACATGATCTTTATTATATAGGCTTCCAGAATATCAATTAATTTAAAAGGTCTAATTATAAGTCTAAAGAATTCAAAAAAAATATCCCTTAATCTCCAATGTTGACCAATTTCAAATAGATATCTCTAAATTATTCTCTATTGAAGATTAGGAAACTTTGAAAAAATAATTACTTATTGTATTTCATTAATAAAAGTTATCAATTCTACCTATTGAATTTAATCAATTAAGTAAAAAAGATAATTAAATAATAATAAAAAGCATCAATTCAGAAATAAAATTAGCTATGAATGGAAGATTAACGTATATTTAACATTAGCATAACATATCCTATTAAATATTTTCTAATAAATGTATGTATCATGGATAAGTTCTTAATAATAAACCAAATGGAGAAGGATGTTTTAGATGGAATAATGGTGAATAATATATAGGTTAATGGTCAAATGCTTAAAAACATGGTTTTGGATAATGGATTGGAACATAAGATGATTATTATATTGGTTAATGGGTAAATGGATAATAAGATGGACTTGGAGAGCATAAATGGAATGGAGATATATATTTTGGTTAATGGAAAAACTCAGTTAAAAATGGATATGGTGTAGAACAATTTTAAAATGGTGATAAATATATTGGAAATTATTTTTATGGAAAACCACAAGGATCAGGTGAATATAGATGGATTGATGGATCTGTTTATTTAGGATAATTTTTAGAAGGTATGAGACATGGACATGGAAGATATGTAAATAAAAATGGTATCATTTATGAAGTAACAATTTATTCCTAATTAGGGAGAATATGTAAATGACTAAAAAAATGGTATTGGATAATTAATCAATAAAGATGGAACTCAATATTATGGATCATTTACCAATGATCATTAAGATGGATAAGGAATATCTACAAAATAAACTATCGAAGGTGATTAAATATAAAATTAATAATAATTCCTTAATCACTCTAAAAATTAAGAAAAACTTAAAAAATAGTCACCTTCAAATGATAAAAAAAATAATTCCTCTTCATATTATTAATCTTAATTATACTAAACCTATCTTAATTCTTATCAATAACCATCATTTCGGTAAAAAATATAATAAAAATTGGAATTACCCCAATGCTCCAAATCAAATAATAAATCTTAAAGCTAATCCACAAGAAGTTATTCTATGAATCATAAAAGAACTTCTTAAATTTAAAAAAATGTTAAATAAAATTAAAAATCCACTTCTATCGATTTGAAAGATATTTATATTGGAGATGCATATAGAACAATCAAAAAATAATAAGCTACTTTTAAAGATAATAATTATTTGTTTTTACTCAATAATAACAAAAAATCTATTAAAAACGTATTTGTCTATTGATTTTAATTATATATTTATTATTATAACTAATTTCTGCTAATGTTCTCATTTATTATTTAAATTCATTTATTTGATAATTTAATTTTAGATATAAATTAATCTGATATTTTAAATAAAAATATATAGAATCTAATTTATTCAAACATGAGGAGCTTATCAATCAGAAATCCAATAAAGTCTATCTAAAATAGAATTGAATGAATTGCTTTCTTTAAGATTTCTACTTCTATTAATATTTCATTAGACGAAAGAAATTATGGTATTTTTATTATTTTTATTATCAGAAAATCATAGATTTAATGAAGTTAAACTAAGATTAAAATTATAACAGTGTATGTCTAAAATGTTAAGATAAATTTTTTGTAATAAATCTATTCAATTCATCCTTGATAATTGATAATAAGCTTTAATTACAAATAACCAAATACTATTAAGATTTTCCTTAATTTTATTTAAAAGTAGTATATATATATGATAAATAAATATAATAATTTAATTTAAATTAAAAATGATGAGTATTGATGATATATATTTAACAAAACCAAAAACAAAATTAACAATTGAATCAGGATAGAGTGATGATTTTACATTTACTTGTGCCTCAATGCAAGGATGGAGAAAATCAATGGTAATCAAGCTTATTAATCTTTTGTTTAGGAAGACTCAATTATCAAAGAAAAACTCTCAACAGGAGAATATTTATTTGGAATATTAGATGGACATGGAGGATTTGAAGTTTCATCTGTAGTTTCCAAATATTTACCGCGCTTTTTAGAATCAAATATTAAATTTAGAAATAAATAATATGAAGAAAGTTTGAAGGAATCATTTATTGATATTGATAAATGGTTAATAACTTCTGAAGGACTTAATGCCTTGGTAGAAGAAAGATTTTAAATGTCTGTTGATGATGGTATTATTAAATTATACGATAGTGATTAAAAACATTAAAAATTAGAAAAAGAATTTCAACAAGCAATTTTTTGATATTAGTGAATTAGCTAAATTAACACCAAAGAAAATTGTAGAATTAATTGGGACTTCTATTATTGATGAAAGTGGAACTACAGCAAATATAATTCTAATAACTAAAGATTCAATATATTGTGCAAACATAGGTGATTCTAGATCAGTAGGCATTTAAAAAGGGAAAGCTGTTATTATGAGTTTTGATCATAAACCTACTCATGCAATAGAAAGATCAAGAATTTGTTAGGCAGGAGGATTTGTTGCAGATGGAAGAGTTTGTGGTGCTCTATCACTCTCAAGAGCATTTGGAGATTATTAATATAAAGATGATATGGTCATAGCAATACCAGATATTAGAGTTTTTAAAAATGTTTAAATGATTTTTATGGCTTGTGATGGAATCTGGGAAGGTTTAAATGATTACGGTGAATACCTCACACAAAAAATTTATAAGAATATCAAAGAATCATGTATTTTTACCTTCATTTTGTTTAGCCGAATAGAAATTAAAAACTATAATGAATTAAATTTTAGCTCCTTCAATGACAGAAGCTACTGTTTGGGGATTGGATAATATGTCATGTATCCTTATAGAATTTAAAAATTAATAAATAAAAAACAAAAAATAACCATTAAAAATAAAAAAAAATATTAAAAAACAGAAAAAATGAACATTAATTCCTTTTATTTCCTTTTTAGTTATTTATTTAATTTAGTTATTAATTTCTCATTATATTATCAGTTTTTGAATTTCAATTTAAAATTATTTATTTTCACTGAATTTTATTGAGATGATGATTTTTTAAGATATGTTAATAACAAACGTTATTATAATGTTTTAATCTAGTTTAATTTTTCACTTTTCAACAACAATTATGGTTATTTTTTTATAATTATTTAAAAATCTGGTTTGTGAATAATCTATTGTGTTTATAACAATTTAGGTTTTGTTAATAATGGGTAAAGATATGTAGATGCATCAGTTCTTGTTCTAAAATTAATAGGAGAATTATTAATTGATCTTCTCATCTGAGATTTTATTTTTATTTCGACCTTATCAAATAAATTGTCAGGTTTGTCAATTGATTGTAAACTTCTTCTGGCCCTGTCTTGATTATTATTATTAACCATTTTTTTCATCATATTCTAAGCTTATATTACTTATAAAACAGGTTTTATAGATCTTCTTATTCTATTCTTGAAGCTAAACATCATTTGTCTTTCACCTTATTTTATTTCATATTATACTTATTTATTATGAACCAAAAATACTAGAATCCATCACTGAATGTCTATTTAAAGAAGGAGGAGAATAAGATTATTTCTAAGAGCCAATCATTTATTTGCTGTCTAAATAATCAATCATCATTATTCTTTATTTTGCTATTCTTCCACCACATTCTTCACAAATACAACTTTAGTTTAGATCTTATAGAATATCATTCTTTTAAAAGTTTATAACAGAAGCATGATTTTTATGGAGACTGATATATTCTTCTTATAATTGATAATTACTTTTCATCGAGAACTAATCAAACCGGTAAACTTTATAATTATCAACTTCATCCTTAATTAAAGTGGCCTTTCTGAAATTTTGAATTGGAGTTCTTTTTTATTTGGGCTCATGAATGAACATTAATATATATAAGAACAAAATAATTATTATTATATCGCATAAATTCTCAATAATTTACAAATTCTCGATAACAAGTAATTTAGAAACAAATTTATCATTAAAAATTAAACAAATTACTCCTTTTTTCATTAAATCTGCTAACTTAATTATAGTATTTATTGTAACTCAGAAATTTCTTCTTCGTAGTGTAATTTACACATAATTTAATTAAATTACAATCAATTTAATTTAAATCAATTAATTGATAATAACAAGACAATCTTGGTCAAATAAATAGATTTTTCTGTCTAAATTTATTCTACATTCTACAATTTGTTTAAAATTTTACAATTACAAATAATTTTGCAACTTTATGACTAAAATTTTAAAATATTTTGTTAAATTTCATTTTGTGAATAAAATATTTGAGATAACAAAAAATTATTTTTATGAAATGCTGAATTGTTTTTATAGCATAGGATTAATAAATACATTTATATTAATACTTTTATTTTTAATAATAAATATTACTCAATATGTTCAATTTATTGAGATTTTCAGAGCTTTCTTGTAAAATCATTTATTCTATCTTTTTACAATTTGCTTTGTTTTAATCTATTTCTTTCTTAAAATAAACTAACAAGCGTATCAGATCCATAGATAGTGTTTTATTATTGATTACTATTTGATTTTCTGTAATCCTTTAATTATATTTATAAATGAGGATTTTAGGTAATTTCTTCTGGAATTTATTCCTTTAATTCTTATTTGATTTTATGTAAACTTGTTTTGAATTCTCTATTCAATGCATTTGCTTATTATTCAGTTTGTCTCATCAATTTTATTAATTCATTTGATTTAACAATGTCTTTTGGTAAATTAATTTTCAAGATTGCTTTAAAAGCACCATAACTCAATCCTATGCGTTATCACTAATAATCTTAGATAATACCCCATTTTTCTACAAGCAATAGGCAATTAAGGACCTAATCTGAATGAATAGTATGTTGCTACACCAACTCCAGGAATGAAATAACATAAAAATGATGTTATGAATCCCATCTACAAAATCAATATATTATTTTATAATAAATATTATATATAAAGTTATTCTAAATAACATTTTTTGGTAGAATCTATTTGAATTACCTTCAAAATAAATTTGAAAGGTCAATGACAAATACATACTAATAAAAATGGAGAAAAATAAATTTACAAAGAATAAAAAAAATTACATATTTATTTTTTTTAAATTGATAGCTTCTCAAAGCTTTATTTCAATTGTGTTGATAAAAATAGGAGTATTGGGATTCCAAAAAATCTAAATTCGATACTAGTTTTATATTTTTTAAATAAATGGTTGAATAACTAGCTGAAATGATTAAAATTTCGGTTTTTTCTAACCACAAAAATTTTATCATAAATTGTAATAATTCAAGTAATAATATCTAAAAATGGGTTATAGGAATAAATATATTCATTTATGCTTGTGCTTTGATTACTTATTTAGTTCTTTAATATATTCTTTTTCCTTATTATTCAACTTAAACATAAGTCTATCTTATCCACTTCTCATTACATATAAAATCTATTAAATAAGGAGATTATATACATCTTTATTTCCACATGGGCAATTAAATTATCCTAAGCAATCACAATCTGAAATTACATTTTAATTATTTAATCCAATTTCTAAATAAACTAAATTATAATACAATTGCTGGGTATAATGATACTAGCTAAGAGAATCAAAAAAATAATCAAAGACTTCATTAATTTTTTATAAATATTTATAAAACGAATTAGATTATAAAATTAATTTTATAATGAAACCTGGGTTATCTTTTTGATATTCATACTGCTTCAATAAATTTTTTTTTTACTCTAATTTATATTATAGAAGATAGAGTTTAAAATATATAATGATAAATCAAATTTATAAAATTTACAATTAATTTGTTAAAATGGTTAATTCTCTATCATTAGGGTAGGCATTATATTTATTAAAAAGACTTTAAACTTACTTCATAATATTTGGATTTTCATGATTGCTTTATACTTTTTTTAATAAATTTTAAATATAAGCTTTTTTAAATGATTCTACTTCAATCTATTCTTAAAATAATTATCTAATATAATCAATTGTGACATTACTAAATACTTAGGTATTGGATTAAGATTTTTCATTTAAATCTAACTGATTTTCAAACTAAATAAGCTTCTTAAATTATTAATAATTTATTTTAGAATCCTAACCATAATTTAACACTAAGTCTCTTACTAAGCCTTTAATTTAGATTCTTAATCTTCTAAAACCTGAATAGAAGTCTTATTCTGTTATAAATTCTTTATTATCTTAATCAAATAATCTGAAAATAGAATTACAACAAAAATCAAATCTTTGAATTAATTTTTATTGTGTTTTCAACAAAAGTTTACATTTTAAAAGCAACTGATATAATTATTGATAAGCAATTTTATCAAAATTTATTAATTCTATTTAAAATGTATCATTAGATTTAGGAGTAAAAGTAATATCCTATAATTTTTTGGTTAATTCATCGACAAAAACACTGCTGGCATTACTATGAGTTTATTCACTATTTAAAAGTTTAAGTTAAGCCTTTTTATATTTAACTGTTGATCTCTATTCAGGAGATTCAAACTAATCATCATTTTCATAAATGCATTACTGAAAATTATTTTATTTTAACGGTGATAAGATTTTTTCTTGTTTAATATTTTCAGTTTTCAAATGAGTTATTACAAATATATCAAGTAAATTAATTTAATCTATAGTATCATTATGATTGCCCATCATAAAAAAATAATTTGTATCATCTTAAGTTAAATTAAAATATTTTTGAAAATCATTCATGTGAATGACTCCATTATTACTCTTATCTAATTATTAAAAGAGCTTAAAGTAATTAAAATTCTCTTTTTCTAAGATCATTTTAATTTCTAATTACTCCCTTAAATAGATTAGTAATTCACCAAAGTAGTAAGAAAGCCCTGTCTCTATGATTTCAGGTAAACACATTTATTTTTCAATAAAATAAGGTTCTCTGACTGCAGCCACAAATCTTATCTCTCGATTAGTTTTTGATAGCATTTAAATAGTTAAGCTATATAATAATGGTCTTATACTCTTCAAAAGTAACTCTGCCATCTTTATTTATGTCAAAATATTTAACACATAAAAAAGCTTCATAATGCTGGCATATGATATCGTTATCTGAGCAAAATTATAGAATATCATAAGAAGTAATATGTCCTTTATTTTGTTAATCTAATCTCTCCATTATAGGTTTCAAGGAAAACAAGGAGTGCTAATTTATTTCAATTCTTATATTTTCCAAGGCCTTTTCACATTCAATAATTGATGAAATTAATTGTTTTATCATTAACAGATAAATAATAATATTAATACATTAAATCAATTCTTAATTATATAATATTGGATTAGAAAACTTAAAGCTATTCCACCTAAGCTTATAATAATATCTTATTTGGAATTCATAAATTTAAATACTTTTTTATGAATAGAATTTTCTAGCTAGTCTAGAGATTTGTAATATGATAACTGAGATTTGAAGTTATGCTCATAAACAATAGAGCTAAAATTTAATTATTTAAAACTTGGATGAGAATTAAATATGTTCTTATTCGCAAATAAGTTCAAATCTGTATTAAAATTCTAAAGTCTTTGTTAATTATAAGACCCTTTCTAAATTAAGGTTTTGGATTCGATCTTTGTTATTTAGATTTTAGAATAATTCTTAAAATTCTACAATAATATCGTCTTCATTTCTAATGTCTAAGATTTCATGATGAATAGCGATAAATGCAGCACAGACATAAAGAATTGTATTTTATTTGGAACAGAGAAGAAAATCCCAAATTCTGCAGATATCATTTATGTTTTCTAATGAATGAGAAAACCAGGTAAGAATCCATGGAATTATACAAGTGGGATACTCAATGTTTAACATTAACTATCTAAGTTTTTGATTAGAAGAATCTCTGGAGTATCGTAACAAAAGATATCTAATAAATTAATATTATGGAGTGATTGTATTTGCCAATTCTTAGTCTAAATAATCTTTAAAGAAGTTTTTGGCAGCATAGGTAGCTGCGATATAGCCTTATTCTACTCCCAAAACTAGTATTAAAATAGAGGCTACATCATGGTAACCTTGATAATAAGAATAATTTGGATGCTAGCTAAAAATTGTGTCTAATACTTCCATCAAACATTTTCGTAATTGATCTCTAAATTTAAAAAAGCTATACATTTCTTTAAAGTTTTTGATTTATGAAATAGTATGCAATGAACGATTAACATCCTTCAATAATTGATCATGTTACAAGCATTTATCAATTTCAAGATACTGTAATTGCTGATCTATTCCTAATAGTTTAGTCCATATTTATTTTCTAAAATATCTATGGATTAGCATTAAAGGGAGTATACATATTAGAAAATCCATAAGTTCTACCATATTTTCGAATTTTTTCATAACCAACATCTTAATCTATATTATCTAAAAGAGATTGTAAAGTTTAAGTATTATCCATATAAAATAATATTAAAAATATTGATTTTATTTAATATTTAGAGCCAAAAACTTGAGGTAAATGATATTCTTTTGAAGAGTTCTTAAATGAATTGCTTATAAATTATACAAAACATTTTAAAATATATAATTATTAAGATTTACATTATTACTATTAAAATTTATTATTAATTGTAAGAGATTTGGAATGAAGAACTAATAGTTTTTATATACTAAAAAATGGGTATAGGATAAAGAAGCTAAAAATTGTAAGATATGTCAAACCCCATTTAAGGCAATATTTAAAAGGAAACATCATTGCAGAAATTGTGGAGAAGTATTTTGCGATAGGTACAAATTTTTTGTTAAAGCTTAAAATAGTTGTTCAAATTTCTTTATGGATAAAACT